CGTTCCATTTTTAATTAAAATGCAATGATCTGACCATATCTTTTTTCATTTTAGTCAATTATGGATCATTTTTAATTTGCAGTCAATTATTAATGTTCATTTCCTTTTATATTTTCAGTCAATTAGTAATATCATATTCATTTTCAGTCAATTATTCTTTTTTATTTTTAGTCAATTAGTTAATTAGAATATCAGATGCAGTGATATTTTTACCTAATTTTGGTTCCATTTTTAATTGATGATATAGAATATTATTATTGAAATATTTCTATTTTTTTTATTTTTATTTTTAATCTTTCTTTACTATTGTTTAAAATATTCATTTACTATTGATGATGTAGAATATTATTATTGAAATATTTTTGTTCCATTTTTAATTTCCGTTCCATTGTTTAAAATTGTGAAAGATTTATGATATAATTGTGATTTGATTTATTCTATTGTGTAATATTATTGTGAAAAATTAAAATGTAATGATTTGACCATTTTGTTTTCCATTTTAGTCAATTATGGTTTTTTTTTTTAATTTTCAGTCAATTATTAATATTCATTACGTTTTCCAATTAACCTAATTTCTGTTCCTTTTTTTCATTTTTAATTTTCAGTCAATTATTAATATTCATTTCTTTTTCCAATTTACCTAATTCCTGTTCCATTTTTAATTGATAATGTAGAATAATATTGTGAACTATTTCTATTTTTTTTCGTTCCTTTTTAAATTTACATTTATTATTTAGTATTTACTATTGTTTGGGGCGGAAATCAAATAAATAGAATTTTATTTAAAATTATATAATAGATTTTATTAATTTTATAATTCCATTTCCTTAATTATATTTCATATTTTATTAATTGCTCTATATAATTTAATGAAACTGCCACAAATATTGCAACAGAAGAAATATTATATTTCTTAGTTTCATTAATCATATTAATTATAATTACCAAATATTGTGACAATTATTATAATAATTATTGTATGCCATGTAATACTAAAATTATTAGGTATTATTTTTATAATTAAGGTATAATATTATTAAATCGAAATTATTTAAAATATATAGATCCACATTAAGAAAAACCTTATTAATTTCGGATATTAAAACTATATATTTATATTAAAGGTGAAGTTATAAAGAATTAAGTTTCAATAAGTTTAGTTATTCCCTAAGTTATATATGGTTAATAATGAATATTTTTCTATATTAGATTATGCTTATATATGGTTTGCCCGTATTAACCATCATTATATTAGATTAATATATAATTCTTTTAATATAATATATTATTAAATCTAAACATATGGTTAATATTTATTCAATATTATTACGAAAGTATTATAATTATAAATTTACAATTATAACTTTGTATATGAAAAACATATAAACTTGAATAGCTTAATACGTCATTCGCAGAAACAATGTTCTTGAGAATAAAAATCATTACCAAACAAAAAAATAGGTCTATTCCCAACCATGCTACTCTATTCCAGACCTATTCCGTGAACCAAACATGCGGTCAAAGTCTTACTATCTCTAAACTTATGATAATGAATGGTGCAACCGTGCAAGTTATGCTACTACTCAACTTTTACTACTGCTTATGTCAAAAATCGTATCATCTTCAAATTAAAGCCTTTTTATTCCTTACTCCTCTATAGCTTTACTATTAGATGAAGTTAGCATTACGTGATTTACGTCATCCAAAAACTTGTGCTGCGTTAAAGTATTCCTGTTCTGGATAAGAAAGATTTGTTGCGTTGAATATGAATTTGATTTGTACTAATTTTATACGCAAATTATCCCGTGGAAACGTGTTCACTATGCTTTGTGAACACGTTTCAAAACGGCGTCGTTTTTACGAAAAAAAAAAAATTAGTTAATGTGCTGTTAACGGCGTTTTGCATTCTATGTTCAGATTATAAATTTACATTTATTAAATTATGAATTTTCTGTTATGAGATTATAAATTTATAGTTATGTAATTATGAATTTTTTGTAAATTCATAATCTCATAACAGAAATGTCATAATTTTATAACAGAAAATTCATAATCTCATAAAAGAAAAACATTTATTAAATTATGAATTTTCTGTTATGAGATTATGAATTTACAATTATGTAATTATGAATTTTCTGTAAATTCATAATCTCATAACAGAAAATTCATAATCTCATAAAAAAAAATTCATAATTTCATAACTACACATTCATAAATCCATGCCTACACATTCATAATTTATGAATGTTGAAGAAGCTTGCACGAAGAGAAAGTGAAACCGCGAAATGTAAAAATGAAGAAAAAAAATCGCACTATTAATTAAAAAAAAAAATAATTAGTGGAAGATAACGATGCCACTTACGAATACCGTTACCGTTTGGGACCGTGTTCACCATCCATGATGAACACGGTTCCATGGCATAACGATTGAATTTTATAAGGGAAATTTGATGGTTTAATTCTAATTAGATTTTTACACTTGCTTCATAAAAATCTACTAATACAAATATTCCTAACATATAGTAACCCGTAGTACTAAATAGCCCAAATTTTAGCACATACGCTAACAGCAATATAATACTAGCATTAAACAGGAATTTATAAATCCAACTACCCTACCTAGAACACTCCACCAACAAAAATTTCACCAGAGTAACTTCAATTGTTATGCCACATATATGGACCAGGGTTCATATTGTATTGTAGATTCTGATTAAAAAGTTATCTACAATTAACATATTTTGTATATATTTCCAGTTAAATCAGGCACACCAACAACTTTGGTGTCGAATTATGGGGCCTCTGAGAGAGTCTGTGCCTTGCAAAAAATCTCAACTTTGATAAATTAGATGCAGGAATTGATTCTCTAGTCGTGACGCAAGTTTTCAACAAGAACCTTGAATCCTCCCCGGGGGAAGATACTCTTATTGCGGATTGCAGGTCTCTCATGCAGCACTTCCTCGACTTTGAGCTCGAACACGTTCTTCGGGAATTGAAGGTAACCAGTGTGCTGACTTCCTTGATAATTTGGGTCAAATCTTTCCGTGGGGCACAACGATTCTAACGTAGTGTCCGGAGGATCTCAATCTGTTGCTGGCTCATGATGCTATAGGTTGTGTACTAGAAGAATTCATTAAATCCCCGGGGCCTTCGGCCCTCCCCTCTACAAAAAATAAAATAAAATAAAATAAAAAATAAACAGGAATTTATAAATCCAACTACCCTACCTTTAACACCCCACCAACAAAAATTTCACCTGAGTAACTTCAATTGTTATGCCACGTATATGGACCAGGGTTCATATTGTATTGTGAACTTTGGTCCAAAAATTATGTGTCTGCAATTAACATATTCTGTATATAATTTCAATTAACCATTTATGTGCTTGTAAATAAATTATAGGTACATAACATATTAACTACAAGCACATAACAAGGTAATTGAAGACACATAATATGTTAACTGTAGACACATACATAGTAATATTTATGTGTTTGCAGTTAATATGTTATGTGCCTATAGGTAACATGTTATATGTCTTCAATTTATTTACATGCACATAAACTGTTAATTAACTACAACTGCAAATACATAATCTGAAGGTTATTTTGGACCAATGTTCACAATGCAAGATATACTTTGGTCCATGATATAATTTGCCGAGTAACTTTTAACACTCCTATCCAGATTAATTTTAACATGGGGTATTCAGTTTGCAATTGTTATAACATATTATCACTACTGAAAATTATGAAATTTCCGACCACCTGAAAGTGATCTTAAATCAAGTCGAAAGTCTTGTTCCGACCACTTTTGGTATCCGGAAAAACCTTTGTTGCTATTTCCGACTATTTTTTGGTATCAACTTGATTTAAAATCACTTTCAGGTGGTCGGAAATTTTGTAATTTCCAGTAGTGTATGTACCTTCAGTTATAAATTATGTGTCTACCACAATTAACATATTATGTATATGTAGTTAACATATTATGTGTATGTACTTAATAAATTATATGTGCATGCAGTTAACATATTATGTGTGTTAAATTTATTTTTAGGCATATAATCTGTTAATTGCATATATATAATTTGAATGTCAACACATATATAATTTGCAATAGTACATTTATTGCGTGAACCACGGTCCAAAAATGACGTCGTTTCGCGTAATTTTATTTTTTTAACGCGACTCACTGCAACGTACATTATGTTTTTATAACTAATAATGTACATTATTCTAAAGCATAATGTACATTATTCTAACTCATAAAGTACATTATTCTATCTCATAAAATTCAACAACGTTGTTTTGGACCATGATCCACACAATAATTTTCCTATAATTTGAATGTCATTTTAGACTAGGGTCCACAATGTAAGGTAGACCCTAGTCCATGGTATAATTTTCCTTCAATTTCGCCCATCTAGCTAGAACTCATGCTTGAATTTTTGTTAATAATTATTTTCCCAAATCATTCCAAAACTCTTTGAATTAACTACTTATTTTCTAAATTTATAGTTTTAAAAAAAGAAATGCATTTCTTTTAGGTAATAATGTAATATAATTGATTGTAGTAATAATTTCTTAATAGAGATTTAAAACTTGTCATCGAAGTGTATTTAGGGCTTATTATGTGATTATTAATATAAAGTAACATTGTAATTAAGATTTTAAGTTTTCCAGACATTTAACAGCTATTTCCCAATCCATATATTTTTATTGATTTAAGACTTTTCTTCGCTCAAATTTTCTATAGCATCATACCCTACCACCATTTATGGCTAGCGGTGACTAAATGCATCTAAGAATTAAGAAGAAGAAAATATTGTAGACAGGAGAAATGGACCTGGTCCAACCATTATTTTAATTTGTTACGTTATTTCTTCTTAATTTCAATGGTGACTTTGTGATATTTTCCACAGAGAGTACTTGACCCGGAAGAAGTTTTGGAAATGCTAGCCTTAATAAGTTGGTGTATATAAATGAAGCAAAAAACATTATATTCACCATAGCCTTACTTGTCTGGTTTTTAGATATTTGTTTTTGGCTTTAATTTCCTTTCCCTCATGGCACTTCTTCATCCATTCATGTCTTGCAAATCCTCCATGGCCACCATTCTCCTGCTCATTGGCTTGCTTCACATTACAGGTCTTCTTTCACTCTATCTCATCATATAAGATAGAAAATAGCATGCCACTAAATTAAACTTAATGTGACAACTCTTTGATGTATTACTTGTGCTTGTAAATTGGTTGATGATTTTACTATGAGTAAATTAGATTATGTAAATTTTAATGCAACTAGCATTATATTATTCTTTAATGTACAATATTCTATTAGCAAGAATGGTTGAGCAACTAATGCAATATAATTTAATGTATAGCAACTGCATTATCTTTCCTTAATCTAAAATGGTAAAATATAATTTGCATTTTTTGTCCTCTAGTTATACTCATGGTACATACTTAATTCTTGAGTTACATGCATAATTATTTTTAATTTTAAATTATGTCTGAAATGACGATTTTAGTCTCTGAATGACCAAATCCGTCACTTATTAAGTGACATATTGGTGACAAGACTAGTCCCCGAGGGACTAAACTCGCACTTCGCGCATAATTTAAGGGTTAAAAATGATCGCGTGTATTACTCAAGGATTAATTCATCTCCATCACATGTATAATTGACCGGCCAAAATGCAATTTTCTCATTTAAAATGGTTGAACTTATTTATATTATTCAACTAGTTTCTTAAGGGGCAATTAAATTTTTTTTAGAACTTATCTCTTTTTTAAAATTTTGACTCTATTAAAATGTATATTTATTCATGCATACTTTCTCAATTTAAGCACAAAGAGTCAACCTGTGACGTTCTATTGAGCTATATATTGTAGCAGTTTCTCCAGTATAATTAAACCTATTTGTCCTTTCCATGCAGGGGTACAATCCATTGGAGTTTGTTACGGGAGAAATGGCAACAATTTACCCTCCGTTGCCGATACCATAAACCTCTACAAGCAAAACGGCATCGGAGGGCTGCGAATCTACGACGCCACCAACGACGTCTTCGATGCTCTCCGAGGAAGCAACATCGACGTCATCGTCGATGTTCCCAACGACAAGCTCCAAGACCTAGCCAACCCCGACACAGCCAACGATTGGGTCCAAAGGAACATAGTTCCCTACCCCGACGTCAACTTCAAATACGTCGCCGTGGGCAACGAGGTTTACCCCGGAAACACCGGCGCCGATTACGCCCTGACGGCCTTGCAAAACGTCCACGCCGCTTTATCAGCGGCCAATAAGGGCGGAATCAAGGCCTCCACCGCCACCTACTCCGCCGTGTTAGACAACACCTACCCACCAAATAACGGCGTGTTCAAGGATGAAGCCAAGAACCTAATGGAACCCATCGTCCAATTCTTGGCACAAAACAACTTGCCCTTGCTGGCCAACATATACCCTTATTTTGGCCGCGGCAGCGCGCCGCTGTCTTTCTCGTTATTCTCCGACACCCAACTGAACGATGTCGGGTACCAAAACATGTTCGACGCCATGCTGGATTCCATGTACGCCGCCGTTGAAAAGGCCGGCGGTTCCAATGTCCAGATCGTCGTTTCCGAGAGCGGCTGGCCGTCGGACGGCGGCCAGGACGCGTCGCCGGAGAATGCTGCGACTTATTATCAGAATCTAATTCAGCATGTGAAGGGAAACCCTGGGACTCCAATGAAGCCTGGAATTGCAATTGAGACTTATCTCTTCGCCATGTTTGATGAAAATGAGAAAAATGGCGATGCAACCGAGCAGCATTTTGGACTGTTTAGCCCGGATGACCAGAGCCCAAAGTATCAGCTTAGCTTCAACTGAGCTCAAGTAATTATAGAATACTGAATAATAATATATTTCTATATTCAACATGTTCATTGTAACATGTTTAAACAATAAAGTTTTGTTTTTATATTCATGAATTGTCATTTAATTTCGACGATCTTATACAATATACTTTTTCAGTTCTTCTTGGGTTCACACATTATTGTTATTGTTTAGATAGAAGATACCATCCTAATTTGTAATTTCCTATTGGAAAATGTTATTTAACCCTTCTAAATTTTCCACTACTATATTCTCCCATGATGTGACTTATATTTATTGAGTAACATGAATTGACTGACCTACATACTTTTAATTAAATACTAACTAATCTAATTAGATGTTGTCACATAGAAATTGGCAAGAAATTTTTTAAGAGGGATGCCTAGCATTACTCTTTTATATTTATATATCAAATCAGTAGTTTTAAAGTAGGGTTGAGTTTCTACCCATCGTTATATCGTGGACCAAGGTCCATAGTGCACTGTGAACCCTGGTCCAATACACATAATTTGACTTCATAATATACAGAATTAATGTTCATAATATACATACACATAAACATGATATAATGAACATGAATTCTGTGCATTATGAACATGAATTCTGTACATTATGAATGAATTCTGTGTATTATGTTAAGTGTTTATGTGTCTTCATTATATCGTGTTTATGTGTATGTGTATTATGAACATAAATTATGTACATTATGGATATAAATTCTGTACATTATGAAGTCAAATTTTATATATTAGACCGGGGTCAGGTCCACGACATAAATTGCCAGTTTCTACTTGCCATTTAGTGTTGGGTACTAAAGACCAGCTGGCAGTTAGAGTCCATTGGACTAAGAGCATCTGCAACAGTTGGGAAGAATGTGGGATAATGTAAGAGTGACTAGGAAAGAGAATGGGGGAGGGGAGAGAAAAAAAGAAAAAAAAAAGAGAAAATTGATTTTTTTAAAAAAAAAAATTTTAAAAACTAATGCTGTCAGGCGAGCCGACTGGCGCGCCTGACACACCACCGGGCGCGTGCAGTGCACGCGCCCGGGTTTTGCCCAGGTTGTGCGCGAAACGCGCACAACCTTACTTCTTTTTTTTTTTAATTCTGACATTAACCCTTCATTTGCAAAGTGATTCTTTTTCAAATAACCTATTCCCACATTAGTATTATTTTTGGCTTAAGTGATTTATTTCTGAAATAACTCCACATTCTCCCCTTAGTATGGATGCTCTAAGTCATCCGTGTTACGTTGCTATAGTTAGTTTGCATGTTTTAGTATTCTACCAAAAGAGTAAGAAAATGAGGCAAGAAGATTTGATCTCTTAAGTCAATTCAATGGGTCAAATTCAGACTTGAAAGGATATATGGATTAATGAATTTAAAACTCTATAATCAAAATGGGTCATGTTTCTTCACCAAAAAAAAAAAAAAAAAAAAAAAAAAAAAAAAAAAAAAAGGGTCTTGTTTAGGTGGTGTGAGACTACAACACAAGATAGACAGGTTATTATTTCTACCTCTTTTCCGTTTATGTTGTTTTCTTTTGGTTCTATGGTATCCCTTTGTTTCTTTAACTAGTTTGTTTTCTCTCGTCTCTTTGACGAGTGTTTTCTTCTCGTCTCTTTGGCGAGTTTTCCTCTCGTTTCTTTTGCGAGTTCTCCTCATAAGCGTGGAATGATAAAATGGTCTCACCAGAGCCAGGCTTGGCTATGTTTGACCAGATCTGTGAAGAAGCACCAAGTTCATCCAACAACATCGCCTTCAAGTTTGTAAAACAGTCAGGCGATCCAAGTTTTCTATAACATTGCTAGGAAATTTGTTTCTATGTCTGACTGTAAAGAATGCATTATCATTCTAACTGTAACACCCCTAAATTTCAAGATATTTAAAACCTATAAAATAAAGGCTAATCTCTTATTAATTCCAAAACAGAGCATAAACTAGACATAGTAGTCGGGGTGCTATGCCACATCTGAGCTGGAGAACTCAGATGCACAGGCTAAACTAACTAAAAAAGCATAAACCATAACTAATACCCAAATACAAATCAAGGCACGCAGGCCATCTCATCCAGGCCAGAACTATCTAAACTAAGTCCACGGATCCACTAGCGCGCTCCGAAGCTACTCACTGTCCCTGAAAAACATTCGGTGTAACAACTGTCAGCGAATAATGCTGGTAACCCACTCCAACACGTTAAGTACAATATAGGTAGATCTAAGAAACTCATTTTAAAACTGGAATACATATATACTTACGAGACTCTAGTTTAAATCCAAGATCAAGACTCAAGGCATATTAACAGACTCAATATCATAGAATAATCATAAGAACTAATAGACACCCTAAACATGCAATGCAAGACATAACAGGCATATAATCATGCAAATACTAAGTAGATCAAAAGCAACTAAGGCATTTAATACAATCAATTAGCACGTAGTCAACAAAGCACACAATTCATCCTCCAACCTTATACCAAGTTCCAACCTTGTAGCTCCCCTCCGTCCTTATATCAGTTCCATCCTATACCTCCAGGCCACCCTTATATCCCCACCTCTTATGCCTTCGGGCAACTACATGCCCCCACCGACAAACCACCTTTCAACCACCAACATATCAAAATGGTGTCGTAGTGCCATCCAATGATCCGCACCTCTAGTGCTAATATCAAGGGGTTAGCGCATATAGCTCTAACATGACACCGCATCACTTATAACCTGACCCATGCCTAAAGCAAGCAAGTCGAAGGTGGGTGTGTGCCTTTAGCACAGTCACCGCTATGGCCTGTACCTTTAGTACAATGACCGGGCACAAGTGGTGCCAACCGCCAACAGTTTATTTTTCACCAATCACAATCTCATCATCATCATCATCATCGTCAGTCACATTGGCCATTGCGCAATGACCACGATATTCATCACCATTCAATCAATCAACACATAATCAAATAACAATCAAGACACAACAACAACGACACGTATTACACATAAATTCCTAGAACAATGCCTAAAACGTCAAACGAGACTCATACACGACAAACGGGGTACAACGGGACACACGGGACACGGGAAAACAACAAACGGGGGAAACATCACGACGCACCACCAATTTCCAGCGGGTGGAGGACCACCCGCCGGCGGCGGTCCACACACCAAAAAATAACCCCATCAGATCGATCTTACAAAATCAACAGTCATAAATAGACCACACATCATATGTTTTCAGAAACATATCTTACAAAATCAACAGTCATAAACAGATCGATCTTATGTTTTCAGAAATCATATGTATATATATATATATATATATATATATATATATATATATATATATATATATATATATATATATATATATATATATATATATATATAATTTGGGTGTATGTCCTTTAATTTTGATGCAGGAGTACAATCCATTGGAGTTTGTTACGGGACAAATGGCAACAATTTACCCTCCGTTGCCGATACCATAAACCTCTATAAGCAAAACGGCATCGGAGGGCTGCGAATCTACGACGCCACCACCGACGTCTTCGACGTTCTCAGAGGAAGCAACATCGACGTCATCGTCGATGTTCCCAACGACAAGCTCCAAGACCTAGCCAACCCCGACACAGCCAACGATTGGGTCCAAAGGAACATAGTACCCTACCCCGACGTCAACTTCAAATACGTCGCCGTGGGCAACGAGGTTTACCCCGGAAACACCGGCACCGATTACGCCCTGACGGCCTTGCAAAACGTCCACGCCGCATTATCAGCGGCCAATAAGGGCGGAATTAAGGCCTCCACCGCCACCTTCTCCTTCGTGTTAGACAACACCTACCCACCAAATAACGGCGTGTTCAAGGATGAAGCCAAGAGCCTAATGGAACCCATCGTCCAATTCTTGGCACAAAACAACTTGCCCTTGCTGGCCAACATATACCCTTATTTTGGCCGAAACAGCGCGCCGCTGTCTTTCTCGTTATTCTCCGACACCCCACAGAACCCTGTCGGGTACCAAAACATGTTTGACGCGATGCTGGATTCCATGTACGCCGCAGTTGAAAAGGCCGGCGGTTCCAATGTCCAGATCGTCGTTTCCGAGAGCGGCTGGCCGTCGGACGGCGGCCAGGACGCGTCGCCGGAAAATGCTGCGACTTATTATCAGAATCTAATTCAGCATGTGAAGGGAAACCCTGGGACTCCAATGAAGCCTGGAATTGCAATTGAGACTTACCTCTTCGCCATGTTTGATGAAAATGAGAAAAATGGCGATGCAACTGAGCAGCATTTTGGACTGTTTAGCCCTGACCAGAGCCCAAAGTATCAGCTTAGCTTCAACTGAGCTCAAGTAATTATAGAATACTGAATAATAATATATTTCTATATTCAACATGTTCATTGCAACATGTTTAAACAATAAAGTTTTGTTTTTATATTCATGAATTGTCATTTAATTTCGATGATCTTATACAATATGCTTTTTTAGTTCTTCTTGGGTTCACACATTATTGTTATTGTTTAGATAGAAGATACCATCCTAATTCGTAATTTTCTATTAGAAAATGTTATTTAACCCTTCTAAATTTTTGTTATTACATAAGGGGTGTTTGGTTACTAGCTGATCAGTTAAAAATTAGCTGATTTGACTAGGTTTAGCTGTTTGACTCATCAATAAGCTATTTTGGAGTGTTTGGTTAAGGGCTGATTCCAATGGCTGATTGAGCAAATTAGCTAAAAATGGAAACGCTGGGGAATGCAGCGTTTCTTCCTCAGCTGATTGGAATTGATTATAAATGGACAAATTTATCCTTTCTAAACCTTCATCCCTGACATGCTCTCTTCAGCCTCTTCTTCATCTAACATCAAACACTCTTTCACCATACTCATCCGTCTTTGGTTCATCTCTGTTTCCCCACCCTTTCTCCACCCTCCATCAACGCCTTCTCCATCCACCGTCCTTCACGCCGGTCACCGCTGCTCGCGCTGCCGGAGTCATCATCATCCGGATTTAAAAAATAAAAAAAAAATAAAAAAAAAAAAAAAAAAAAACTACAACAATAAAAATGAAATACACTAACCCGATCCATCTTAATCTTCCTGCCATCTCCAATCACCAGATCTTCATCCTCTGCTTCTCGTCGTTTTCTTCGCGTTGATCTTCATCTCTGCTTCTCGTCTTTTTCTTGGATTGAGTTCTTGCGGCTTTCTTTGGAGTGATCTGGGGCAAAGTAAAAAATTGGGTAGGGATTTACTTTTTAAGTGGGTTCTGAGTAGATATTTGATATAATAATAATAATAATAATAATAATAATAATAATAATAATAATAATAATAATAATAATAATAATAATAATAATAATAAACGGGTTGTGGGTGTGGGGCTGTGGGTAGAATTTAATAATGATAATAATTATTATTATTATAATTATTATTATTTTACAGTAAAAATCATTTTAAATTTTAAATTATTAAAATTAAAAATAATTTAATAATATTTTATAAAATATAATAATTTAATAATAGTTAAATAAACTAAAATAACATAATACATTCATACCCTTAAATGTCATTTTACATGCAATAAGCTAATAGTAAACAGCTAATTTACCAAACACTTTTTTATAACCAGCTAATACAATCGGTTGGTCAAACCAGTTAACACAATCAGCTATTAACTATCATCTAACTCGATCAGCTATCAGCTACCAGCTATTAGCCATTTGCCAAACACCCCCATACTCCCATGATGTGACTTATATTTATTGAGTAACATGAATTGACTGACCCACGCACTTTTTTTAATTAAATACTAACTAATCCAATTAGATGTTGTCACATAGAAATTGGCAAGAATATTTTTAAGAGGGATGCCTAGCATTACTCTTTTATATTTATATATCAAATCAGTAGTTTTAAAGTAGGGATGAGTTTCTACCCATCGCTATATCGTGGACCAGGGCCCACAGTGCACTGTGAATCCTGGTTTAATACACATAATTTGACTTCATAATGTACAGAATTCATGTTCATAATACACATACACATAAACATGATATAATGAATATGAATTCTGTGCATTATGAACATGGATTTTGTACATTATGAATATGAATTCTGTGTATTATGTTAAGTGTTTATGTGTCTTTATTATATCGTGTTTATCTGTATGTGTATTTGTAATACCCACAACCTTATAAATAAAATATATATATATGTTTAGTAAATGAGGTCAACAAGTCAAAGCTTATTAAAATTTGATATTAGATAAAATTACTAAATTATCCTTCTCTACCCTTAAAGATTAAGGAATCCCTTGGTCTTGGAGAAAGATATCTTTTAAAAGAAGATAAGGAGAGTTGACTAGAGAGAGATAGGGGAAGGGAAGACCTTGAAGCTTGGATCTCCATCTTCTTCAAGCTTAGATCTCTAAGATATTGGGTATTCTAGGTGAGTTTAACCTCTATCTTTTACTCATTATGAGTTGGGTTTATCTTTGGAGCCCTAAGATTGATATTTGAAAATATTAGGGATTTTGACAAGGAGTATTTGGGCAAGCTAAATAGCTAAGATTTGGATGTTTTAGGTAAGTGTTTATTTCTCTCAAAACTATTTTTACCCTATACTATAAATTAAACTTGTGATTTGAGTTGTATATTGAAATTTTGAGCTGCGTTTTTGGACTGGAATTGTTGTGAACTGTGTTTCCGGACAGGAATTATTTACTTATATAATCTGGACTGGAATAGTCACCAAGTGTTGAAATGGTAGAATGGCTTGTGGTTGTTGTGTAGGTAGCAGTAGGTTGTGGGTTCCACTCTGCCTGCTAGCATACCTTATGTTTATTTTTCTATATGTATTACATGCTTATAAAATGTATTATTTGTTTAAAGAGAGAATTGAACTCTTAACCTTATGCTTATATTAACTTAAGTTCTTCCAACTAAGCCATTTCAATTCCTTTGAAATTACTTTGGCTTAATAAACTATTCTATGCTTTTTAAAGAGTTATGTACTAAGAAAATTATTATTTTGAGAATGGAAAATAACTTGCATATTTCGTAGTTTGATAAACTTATTATCTATTTTGGAAATATGTACTTTGTTATGTGACTTTAAGGAAATGATTTTTGCTACATCGGGCTATTTGATTATAAGAACTATTTCGAGTGTTTGATCAAACTCATGAGGCAACCTACATTTTGTTGTTTGTTTTGTTTGGCTTGGAACGTTCCTAAATGCTCATTCCGAATCGTCGAGCTTGACTCATTCCAAATCGTCGAGTCTTTTGAATTATTTGTTGGAACGTTCCATCCGGCTCATTCTGAATCGTCGAGCCTGACTCATTCCGAATCGTCGAGTCTTTTTGGACCATTATATCGATAATGGCATGTGCCACAGAATATAATGGTGGTTGTAGGTTGCCAATGGGTCATATGTTAAGGAATGAATTGTGCTTTTGAAAGTATTGTGTTATGAAATATTGTTGATTGTTGATGCCCATGTAGCTAAAGTTTCTTGTTTTGTGAACTCATGTATTGTATGATGGAGTATATTATGACTTCGATATGGTTTAAAGATCAAGTTTTGCATCTAGTTATTACTCTAAAGCTTTTTGTATATTATCGGGGTTACTTGATCCGGGGTTGAGAGGAGTACCACTTACTGGGCATTAGCTCATCATTATTTGTATTTGTTTTTCCTCATGTTTCAGAGTAGTTAAGGACATGTGAATAGCACGAGCACAAGTGGTGGGGTCTCGAAGGTGACTTTTGGAAACTAGGAGACTTAGTCCTACTATTGGAGCTTATCACAGATTTTTGTTTCTTTTGGATTTTCCCGTTGACCCTTTGTATTTTGGTAAACCATTGTGCTTGGTTTTGGTGCTTGTAATGCATTTTGTTATGCTAGTCTTGATTGTAAATATTTAACAGTGGTGATTTGGTGAGTTTTTGGGAAGAACTAGTTGTTTTTATTGGTCATAAAAGTGAGGAATTATTATGTATTAAAGTGTTGTTATGAAGGTTCCGAGAGGTATGTATGGCTAGGCTTCGTATTGTTACAGGCTTTCGTGTAGCGATACGGCCGGGTCATGTCCTAGAAGCGGGGCGTGACAGTATTATGAACATAAGTTATGTATATTATAGATATAAATTTTGTACATTATAAAGTCAAATTTGTGTATTAGACCGGGGTCCACAGTACCCCGGTCCACGATATAAATTGCCAGTTTCTACTTGCCATTTAGTGTTGGGCACTAAAGACCAGCTGATAGTCTCTTTCTAGTTAGGGAGGCAGTAGATGAAAGCCTCTTCAGTAAACTCTTTCCGCTTCCGTCGTGGCATGAACTAATTTTTTCGCTTCGATTCTGTCTGTCTTCGCTCCTCTCCTGTCGAGTGGCTTACGCTCCTACTCCTCCTCCTTCTGCTCATGAATCCTCATTGGTCTTCCATGGCACCGAAAATGTATCAGGGTTCAAGTGATTCGCCGAAGCGTCATAGGCCGTACGCAGAAGAGAGAGAATCCGTCAGTCTTTAGAGTGCAGAGGGGACTGACTTTCCACTTAGTTTAGGCAACTTCTTGAAACGTGCCAAGCTGAAAAGAGGGCTAGGCCAGAACAGAAGTGGCTGGGTGTCAAGCTCTTCCTTCCATAGATAGAGATAGGTGGTATTCCCGGATCACGCGCTTTGCTTACCGCTTACAAAATATCTATCTACGGTGCTTACTTCGCCTTCGAGGAAGCGCTTTGCTGCTAGTTTGCTACTAACAAATTCTTTCTTAAAGTCAAAGGGGACCTCAACCATTATAGCAAGGAAAAGTTTGATTCAGAGGGAGAAAAAAAGACAAAAATTGAAAATGAAATATCATTTGATTTGTCGATCCTCAAAAAAAAAAAGTCTACGGCGAAGGAGACAAGGGTGAGGCACCGAACATGTTCTACCCTCAACCTCCATCCGTCATTAGTAATCTAAATTGGTTACGTTGCTATAGTTACTTTGCATGTTTTAGTATTCTACCAAAAGAGTAAGAAAATGAGGCAAGAAGATTTGATCTCTTGAAGTCAATTCAATGGGTCAAATTCAGACTTGAGAAGGATGGATTAATGAATTTAAAACTCTATAATCAAAATGAGTCATGTTTCTTCACCCAAAAAAAAAAAAAAAAAAAAAAAAAAAAAAAAAAAAAAAAGGGTCATGTTTAGGTGTGAGACTACAACACAAGATAGACAGGTTATTATTTCTCGGGAAAATGACTTAAATGTGTAAGTAGGCATATGTAATTCTAAAAAGGAATAAGGTTCAAATTGGCCACTGAACGTAACCTGAAAATGCAATTAGGTCACTGAGCGAAAAAATGCAATTAGGTCACTAAACACTCCAAATGTATGCAATTTCACCTGATAGCAGGTTACCATCAATTTTAGTAGGTTACCTTCTTACGTGGTAGCTGAGTTGGTATTTTTAATAATTTTTAAATAATTTTTAATAAATTTTAATAATAATTTTTTTTAACAAAAAAAAAAAAAAAAAAAAAAACGACGGGGTCGGCCACCCCCCCCCCCCCCGCCCTTCCTTCGTCTCCGGCGAAGACGAAGGAGGGGGAAGGCGGGTCACCCTGTCGTTTTATTTTTATTTTTTTTTCAATTTTTAAAAAAATTTATTATTAAAAATTATTAAAAATGCCAACTCAGCTACCACGTAAGCAGGTAACCTGCTAAAATTGACAATAACCTGCTATCCGGTGAAATTGCATACATTTGGAGTGTTTAGTGGCCTAATTGCACTTTTTTAGTTTTCAATGGCCTAATTGCACTTTTTTTTCCGTTCAGTGGTCTAATTGCATTTTCAGGTTACATTCAGTGGTCAATTCGAGCGTTATTCCTTCTAAAAATATGAAGTTGCTGGGGATTGACCGAAAATATGAAAAACAAGTTTGAGAAATGCATTTTATCACATTTGCGGTCAAACATGAAACGCAAAATATGAAAAACATGTTCTTGAGAAACGCAATCCCACTTGCGTTTCTTTTTTTTTTTTCTTTTTTTTTTTTTTTTTTGTCTTCTCCGGCGAAGACCAGCAAGAAGCACAGGAAGAAGATAAGATAGCACCAGGAAAAAAAAAGAGTCCACTTGCGTTTCATGTTTGACCGGAAATGTGATAGAACGCATTTTCCAAACGTGTTTTTCATATTTTTGTCCAATCCCTAGCAGCGCCTACTTACACATTTCAGTCATTTTTCCTTATTTCTCAGCTTTAGTTAGGCATGACAATAATGAAATTGAGGTAGATTATGGTTATTATATTCATTATCATCGCATCAAAGTCTCCCCGCATACTGAGTACTCAACCAATTTAAGACCACATTGCTCCAAAACTCAAGCCTTCATTCTTGGTTAGTTTTACATTTTTAAATATAAGTATTACATTTTTATATTGACTCTACCCATTTTACGGATAAGGATCCATAAGAGAGTTTGACATGAGAGCACTCCAACTCAGTTGTGGGGTCTAACTTTTTTTTTTTAATAATTACTTAGCAGTATATGTCATGTTTTGATGGCAAGAGATTAGACTTGACTTTCAAACTTTTCATTGTAATTATTATAAAATATGTCAAATTTTGTGATACTTGATGAAATTTTTATTAATGTCCACAATCTTTTTAATGCTTGATTGCTTCAACTAGCTAGAAAGATAATGAAAAAATATAAACCCTTAAATTTGTTAAAATTATACGATTAACCTATTTAACACGTTACCAAAAGGTAATTAGTCAACTTTACTTACATGAAATCTTACGTGAAATCCTATTCAGAAAAATAAAAATAAAAAATAAAAAAAACCTTAAACTGGCCATTGACTTCTCCCGATCTGACCATGCCACTTATTGAGGAGAATCATTGTATTAGGAGGTCGTTGCTATTATTATGTAATTGTTATACTTTGTAGTATAAAAGTCAAACCCCTATGAGAGTAGGAGGACACGCTCTAAAACTACTTGTACTCAAACTCTGAAGCAATACAATTTTGTTTACTTATAAACATACCCGGTAAGATAATTATGGTCATCAAGCACACAACAAATAAACTAAAATGTTTGAGCGATATCATGGTTGCAACGCCGATTAATCGGCGTCTAGGCGCTAAGCGGCCGCCGGCCACAGCGAGGAAGGCTGGAATCAGTTTCCTCCGCGGTCGGCCGAATAATTTTTAAAAAAAAATTTCAAATCGCTTATTTTTCGAAGGTGGTTTGGCCCTCTAATTTCTCCAAAAAAATGCTTCTTTTGCTCTTAATTTTAATTTTTTTTATGTATTTAGATGGTTTCAACAATATTCAAAACGCTTTTACAGCCACTTACGTAAATAATTTGTAAGAAAAAACTGGAGGAACCTTATGTGTTATTAGTGAATTTCACAATTTTTAATTTTTTATTTTTTTTATTTTTTAAAAAATATAAAATAATTAAAAAAAATTAAAAAAATCGAGGCGCCTAACGTGTTTTGCAACTTTGAGCGAATGACTAACGTTGATTCGCTATTATAATTGAATTATCAATTTGTTATTGAGGACAAAATATATGCTAAGTTACCTATAATCTCATAAAAAGGAGTTATATATATATATATATATATATATATATATATATATATATATATATATATATATATATATATATATATATATATATATATATATATATATATATATATATATATATATATATAAGTAATTCAGTTGGTTCTAACATAATCTTAAGTGCAACATTCCATTGAAATTGCAGAAGCATTATTGTCAACCAGCCATGGGTGTGTAATGGATGAGAGTGATTCATAGACTTGAAGCATTGTTGGCCTTTGATTAGGCATGAACTTCACACAACTCTTCCCAATTTCAAGGAATTGTGAGATAGAATCATCAAATCCTGCATGTGTTAGCACTTCATCTATCTGGAGTGGACTAGCAGCTGTTGTGTAGCTACCGAAAATGAGATCAGTGGAGCAGCTCAATTCATAAGCTTCCTTTCTGGTTATAAGCTGAAGAAGCACAATTCCAAAGCAGTACACATCTTTGGTGTAAGGGCTGAAATTATTGTCTCCATATTCTTCCCAGCTAGAAGAAGCGGTGTCGTTGGGATTCGTGACCGTTGCTTCCCAGAATTTCGATATTCTTGGCTTGAAACTCTGATCCATCAGAATGCATTTCGAGCAGAGGCCATTATGCACCACGTTTAAGCGACAAGCGTAATGAAGCCACGACAGGGCTTTAGCTACACCAACTGCAATCTTCATCCTCAGAGGCCATGTCAAGACTTTTGCCCTGTCTTCTGTAGAGTGTAGCCAGTCATGCAGGCTGCCATTGGGCATGTACTTGTAGACCAGAAGTTTTGCTTTTCCTTGGGAGCAAAAACCTATGAGGGGGACCAGATTTTGGTGGCGTAGTCTGCCCAAAGTCATGATCTCAGAGGCGAACTCCTCATCCAAATTCTCTGTCTCGTGGAGCCTTTTGATGGCAAGAAGCCATCCGTTTGGGGGTGTTGCCTTGTACACTTTCCCTAGAGTTCCACACCCAATAATGTTGTCTTGGCTAAAATTGGATGTTGCATTTGCCATCTCCATAAAACTCATTCTGCTCACAAATTTCTCTAGCTTCGCAATCTGCTTCATAAATTAAATTACAACCAATCATTGTTGCATCCATACAGTTGAATTATAACAAAAGGAAAATGCATGCTTCCATCTCTACAAGAACTAACCACTTGTCTAGGTAACTCCAATCACGATGGATAAGGATACAAACATGTAACTACAAGGTCACTAGTTTAAATCTCACCCTTCTTAGTTTAAATTGGTTAGTCAGGCGGGTCGGTTAGGTTATGGATAATCTAGACTGATTTATCTCCTTATGGTCATTAATTTGGGCAAATGTTTTGTTTAACGAAAAGAAACGGCATCCGTTTCCTGCCGTTCCGCACCCTTCCGCAAAATGTAGATCTATTATTCAGTTTCATTTTGCATATACTACAGTTTCAGTTCAACACAACTACAGTTTCATTTCGATATAACTACAGTTTCATTCAATATTTATAGACTCAAATATGTAAAAATGTTATTTAATTTTATTTTATATACACTATAGTTCTATTAAAACACAACTACATGATCATTTTGATATAATTACAGCTTCATTATACAATATACACTTAAATATGTGAAATGTTATTCAGTTTCATTTTGTATATACTGCAGTTTAATTTCACCACAACTATAGTATCATTTTGATATAACTGCAGTTTCATTCGATAATATAAACATAATACGTGAGGCAGTGCCGGTTTAGATATACTGTAGTGTTAGTTGGTAATTAACATACAAAAGAGTGCGCGCTCCGTTTCTTTACTTAAAGAAACGGCGCCGTTTTGACCGTGATGCACGTGCACCGCGTTCCATGATATAACGACCCATTAATTTGCTGACTAGGATCATAATGCAAGATTTACCCAATGCACACCCTCTAATAGTAGCTCTAACCACGCATTAGTTTTTCTATGTTTTAATATCTTTTTTATTGAGAAAATTACACTTTTCGTCCCTAAGTTATACGGTAATTGTAGAATTCGTCCCTAATTGTTGATGGTGCTCACTTTTTGTCCCTAAGCTATTATTGGCGTTGCACTTTTCGTCTCTTTACTAACAAAACATTAGAGATTAAATTTGAAACGTTAGTATAGCTTAGGGATGAAAAGTGAACTCGAAAAGTTAATAAAATGACAAAAAGTGCAACGGCTTAGGGGTGAAAAGTGAATACGATCAATAATTAGGGACGAATTCTACAATTATGTACCTTATAACTTAGGGACGAAAAGTGCAATTTTTTTTTTTCTTTTTTTTTTTTTTTTTCAAATCTCAACCTATTAGGGAGTGACAAAAAATGATCTGATTTTTGTATGGACATCTAGTATTGTCGATAATTAAAATACAGCTAAATTCCAATTGTTATACCATGGACCAGGGTCCACCTTACATTGTGGATCCAAAATGACATTTGAATTATGTGCATGTAGTTAACATATGTATTTTCAGTTAATAAATTATGTGTCTACTACAATTAACATATATATTATATGTATGCAATTAACATATTATGTACTTGCACTTAATATATTATGTATATACAGTTAACCTATTATGTACCTTTAATTTATTTATAAGTACATAACATACATGTTGCAGACTCATAACATGTTAACTGCATATACATAATCTAAACATCATTTATCGCTAATTAATTCTTACCTTGTCTTGGTTGCCAATATCTTCTTGCGCAGGACATACACTTATGATGCCGTTCACCTTCATCAGTTTCTTGCCAAAAAGAATCTTGTTTATAGCTGCGTAAGGAAATCCAAAGAGGCAAATATATAAAGCCAGCAACACAAAGATGGCCCAACCTGTAGCGAAGCCACTGATGAAGAAATCTCGATCACTGTGGCGGCCTTTCGCGGCATGTGCTGGGCACGGCCGCAAGGGACCTCCGCAAAGTCCTTCATTCTTTTCGTAAATCTCTGCCGGAATGTTTCCAGAAAACGTTGGAACTGGCCCCGTCAAACTATTGTTTGAAACACTGAACACCTTAATGCGACCAAACAAACCAAATTCAGGCGGAATTTGGCCTGTCAGCTGATTATCGTTTAACTTGAGAACATTTAGGTACTCGCAGTTTGCCAAACTAGCAGGAATCTCACCGGAGAATCGGTTTGAAGACAGATCCAACGTTGTAATTCTGCTGATGATGTTTCCGACATCGGAAGGTATGGTTCCGTATAGTTGGTTAGCTGAAAGATCCAAACCCGTTAAGCTTGAACATCCTTGAATGCCCAGAGGGAATGGCCCTCTAAGCCCCATGTCAGAGAGTTGGATATTTAGCACTTTATTCTCATCGGCATGCCAGCAATAAACTCCTACGAACTTGCAGATAAATCCTTCAGTCTGGTTGGTAAAGTCCCAACTTTGAAGGTAACCCAAAGGATCCTCCAACGAGTCTTTTAACGATCTCAAGCAATCGATGTCACTCTGCAACGCATGGATTCCACCACAGTGAAGTGCAAGAAGAAGAAGAAGAAGAAGAAGACATTTGACACCACAGGGATACATTATTATTAACTAATTTCAAGCTGATCTTCTTCCTCATAAAATATATATTTAAGTTTAGGATGACCCAAATTCTCTAGCATTCCCATTGAATTGTTTCAGTAATTTGATTAAGTCAAGAACGCGTTTATTTTGTAAAAAGACGAGTCATCCCTATCATTGTCTATAGTATAGGACTCTTTTCTTAGCAACATCCTTGGAGACTCTAGCTTTGCTTCCTGCTTTAAAGTTTGGAGGTATAAAGTCTATTCATATATTACAATGTTAACCAATATTGGAACCATGGTCCTAAATGGCATAGTTTATCATAATTGAAAATAAGTGAGTATTACATTGGGGTTACAGTACCGGGTTCGAATCTGTGATTTCTCATTTGAAAGAACCACGGAAGTGCCACGCGAAGTATGTAGTATCAATAGAATAAGGGTAAAATAGTGGTTGTTTTTTTTTTTTTGAATGCTACTAGCTCTATTACATTGTAGTATCTATTCATATACTTTCTCAACCTACTGAAACACAAAGAGCTAATAACGCCCAACCTACTGAAACACAAAGAGCTAATAACGCCTACACTGAGGCTCAAACTCACAACCTTCCAAATAGAAGCCCAACTCGGATACCATTGGACCACATAGTCCTGGTTTGGACATGGTTGTTTAAGTCAACACAACCGTCATTTATACCAGGAAAAGCTCAACAAACCCCCTAAATATTCGGCTGGCTAGTGGAACATGTCAAGTCCCACGGGATGGGTTGTACGACCTAGTTTAAGTCCACCATTCCAGACCAAGAGATGGATTCGATACAAGAATGGCTAGTTGCTTGCGACTAGCTTTCGAGGCTGGCCCATGTTGACTTCTTGGGTCTGGGTCATCTCATGGAGCCCTGGGTTGTCATTTTTGTACCGTTTTCAATATCTCCATAAGTTATAGTGTACAAAACGATATAAATTTATGATCCTAAAAAAAAAACTCTTACAAAAATATGTGATAAATATGGATTAATTTTTCCTCCTTTTTTTTTTGGGATAAAATCCAAATCCAAATTTAAATTTATTGTGTTAGAAAGAGTATATACCTTCCAAATTACACTTTATACCTCTAGCTGTATTCCTATTAGTCTACTACAATTTGCTTCACGCAAAGGGTGTATATATGAAAATTCCTAAAATCTAATTTGTTTTTATTATGGATTCCATAAAAATTAGTAAACCATAGAAGTTAATGCATACGACAATTTGATTTAGGGCGGTCAAGTGTGTAAATTTGAAAATTCCTAAAAGTCTAATTTGTTTTTATTATGGATTCCAGGAAAAGAAAAAAAATCACTAGGCATTAATTGATTGTAACTTTGTAAGTATCTAGACTAAAAGTCTAATTTGTTTTTATTAGAGAAAATTTTATTTTTAGTCATTTACTATTGTGATATTGTCACATTTAGTCATATTCTTTTAATCTTGTCATATTACATCAATGACTTTGAGCAACTTTCACTTTTAGTCCTTGACTATTGTAGCATTATTGACTTTTAGATGTTTAGTAGGGGCATATTGACTCTTTATGCTTTAATAGGTTGAGTAAGTAGCTATAAACAGATACTACATTGTTACAAAGTCAATAGTACTCAAAAAAAATCCTCTAATAATTTGGTAAATCAAAATAAATTTTTAATTTTAGCAAAATATATATATAAGTAATTGATTGGAACAATCACTTTCAACTAGACCTGGCAATTCGTGTATACGGGTTCGTTAACGGGTCGACACGATAATGACACGAACACGATAAGACTAAACACGGACACGACACGTTAAGGTTAACGGGTTCAAATTTCTAACACGAACGCGCACACGATTTGTTAACGGGTTAAACGGGTTGACACGATAGACACGTTTAATTAACATGTTTCGGGTCGTGTCGATACGATATGACACGAAACCTATATATTTAAACCAGCCAAACCTATTAATATATTTTAAAAACTAAAATTTAAAGTTAATGTAAGTGTAAAATAATTTACACAATATTCGCTATTTTATTTATTAGTCTCATTAGCTTTAAATTAAATTAGTGTTGTTAGATTTATTTCTTTTATGGACCATGTGATTACAAAATAAGTGGCTAGCATGCATTGGTGAATAAAGTCTATGATGAAGCCTTCAAAGAAAGATGTGTGGCTGTGACTTATTCGAACAGTGAAAACAAGGAAAGGGGCTACAATTAAGGATCAAATAAAGGGACTCATGAAGTACTATAAAAGAGTACTATTCGAATGAAGACACTGCTAATCTGATTATTACAAATTTGAGAGAGTTATCCTGATTTACTAAGATATTGATTTTTAATGTGATTTATTATTTAATTCCTAAGAGTATTTAATCTGTACTACATGATCAGTACGTGGTACTGCTGAAACAACTTGTGAAGATTGTTCGGGTATTCGTGTGTCAGTCCTGGATAGGTGTTAGAAAGAGTGGTAATGGTAAAGGCTGGAGGCCGTCTTCATTTACCTCTTGTAATACTCCTTTTGGTGAACATCTATAGTGGATTGGGCAGACGTGGGTTGCCCCGCAGACGTAGGAGAAGGAGCTCCGAACTGCGTAACAATTCTTTGTGTTTTTAATTATTTTATGCTTTCTGCAGTTATTATTTATACTTGCTTAAACGAGTTTAAATCAATTAACTAAATTGGTGCATATCTTAATTAACAAGTAAAAACACATAGCTTTTATTTTACAAGTGTCACGGTGCAATTTCAATTGGTATCAGAGCTTGTAGACTTAATCTATTAGTCTATCGATCTGGCAAATCCGTGCATCTTGAATTCTTTTCTTCAGCGGCTATTTTTATTTATCTGTTTATTACTTATTTGTTTGATCTCACGGGGTGTTAAGTGTTACAGAATCGATCGTACTAAAGTCATTCCCTAGTTGACCGGCGACAACTACGCATATTGGAAGGCTCGCACCTGTACTCATCTGAAAGCTCAAGGTGAAGTTGTGTGGCGGTCTATGGTGGCAGGTTGGACCCATCCCACCAAACTCAGTTCCAGCACTGACGGAACAGAAATAGCTAAGCCTGAGACTGAGTGGACTCAAACAGAGATAACCAATGCAGGAAACAATGATAAGGCTTTAGACACAATTTATTCTCTTATGCATGAAAGCCAGTTCTCAATTGTTGCAGGTATTCCTTCAGCTAAAGGTGCTTGGGAGGCTCTTGAGTCTACTTACGAAGGGACGACATCGGTAAAACAGTCAAAACTACAACTGGTCCAGTCAGAATTCGAAGAGCTTCGCATGAACAAGGATGAGTCAATCATCGAATTTCACACACGTGTACAGGATCTGGCAAATCGTGCTATGGTCCTTGGTGAACCATTCTCGCAAGCAAAGCTTGTTAAGAAAATACTGAGATCCTTACCCCCGAGGTTCAAAATGAAAGTCACGGCTATTCAGGAACACGACGGCTGGGAGAACAAAACTGTTACTCAATTAATGGGAAATCTTAGAACCTATTAAATGGAAATTTTAACTGATCACACAAAAACGAAAAAACAAAAAAAATATAGCTTTTGCCGCTGAAGAAAATAATGTTGTATCCGATTCAGATGAAACTAGTGATGATACAGTTGCGTTCTTGACTAAACAGTTTTCCAAAATTTTGAAACAGGTATCCAAAAACACACGCAACAGAAATTCACAAAAGGGAGCAACGTCGTTCAAAACTGCGCCTAGGACAGGGGCGTCAAACTTCAAACAGTCTATCTCACGTCCAGGACAGTCCAAAGAAAGGTCCAACAATAAAGGAATCAAGTGTTATGAGTGCGAGGGCTTTGGACATGTACAAGCTGAGTGTGCCACCTATCTTCGACGCAAAAAATCTATGTCATCCATTACCTGGAGTGATGACGAGCCTGACGTTGAAACAACTGGATCGGATGTCAAAGAAATCTCGGGTAACTTTGTTGCATTTACGGCTCGTGTTACTGGCTGTTCAGAATTCGTTGAAGAAGCTGACTTAGAGGGTGGTGAATATGTCTCCGCAGAAGACTTAGAACTAAATACTTTATCTTTTGAAGCTGAGTTTAATAAGTTGTATCCCAAATGGGAAGCCCTACGAAAAGTAAACTGCAAATTAGCTAGTGAGATAGAGATTGTAACCAAGGCTAGTAAAGTATATCAAACTCAAGTAGCATATAGGAATGTTCTACTTAAAGAAGCAGCTGACCGAGAAGAAAAACTACAAAACAAAGTACAAACTAGCAATGTACTATTGAAGGAGGCAGCCGACCGAGAAGAAAAACTCCATCAAGAAGTACAGACCTTGAAACAGGAGCTCAGCACCTACAAAAGACAAATCCAAATGATGGATACCACTTCAACACTTGATAAGATTCTTGATTCCGGCAGAAAATCTTCTGCAAAATTTGGTTTGGGCTTCACTTGAAGTAACTCCAAAGATAAGACCGTATTTGTCAAAGCATCCGGATCTGATCCAAATGACATTCCTGAATCCAGCACTATGAAACACCCCTATGGTAAAGTAAGCGAAAATAAGATTCATTATAAACTATATAATCCTGTTTGCCACTATTGCAGGTTACGCGGTCATACCAGACCTGAATGCTACTATTTCTACAAGGATCAAAGAATCGAGAAGTTCAGGCACAAGAACATACAACCTTTCACAAAACAAATTTGGGTTAAAAAGACTGATTATATATCGTTTGTTTCGTTTCACTCTAAAAGTGCAGGAAGAGAAGAGAAATGGTATTTTGACAGCGGGTGTTCCCGTCACATGACAGGAAATGTTAAATTCCTGAACAACGTAAATACCATTAAAGGTGAAGTTACCTTTGGTGACGGTGTCAAAGGTCAGGTGACTGGTGTAGGCAATCTTACTGTCTAATTTCCTCGCGCAGGTAAATTTTTTTTTTCTTTCATTTTTTTTAACAGTTAATTTGTTTTTTCTACATGAGTGTTAATGCAGGGATAACAGGGTGGTTCGGCTAATTGTTCACATCCTCAGATGTTCGATTTTTTTTATATACTCCCATCTTCTTTTTTTTTGTGTTACATATAGAAGACTAATTCAATACAAACACATATTCTCTCTCGTACTCCTACTCAATAGCCTACATTATCACCTAAGTCTTTTACCCTTCCTATCACTACACGGCTTTTTAGAATCCATCCCCTCACAATTAATTTTTTTCTCTCTTCCCTTGCCTCCACTACGCCTAAAGCCGAGATCATCATCTACCTCATCTCTCTCAATCCATCCGTTTCCACCATTGTTGCTTCTTGAAACCTTCTCAAATGGAAAATCCTTTTCTCATCTTTGTTTCACCTTCTGAAAGGCACACGCTATTTCATCAAATCATAGATGCCGAATCTCCTATTTCACCAGAAGCTACCGATCGTGTTCTTGCCACCATCAAGCAACATTCTTCCCTTCTAGAAGGACTCACGGACAAGGAAAAACGACAACTGCTTGCACTTGCCCGCCACATCTCCGTCGCACCATTCCCCATTCCGGCCGAGACATCAGCCGCGACTGTCGTACCGGAGCCACTACCAGCGACAGTCTCTCTATCTCCATCTAACCCTGTGGTATCTCCCTTGTCTCTCTCTCTCTCTCCTCTAGAACATGCTTTGTCTACTTCTCGAAAAATTGATTTCAATGTCTCCTTACCTGAGCTATTTGTATCTTCTGTGCCTAGTAGTTCCATAAATGTGCGTTCTTTACCTTTACCTAATGACCCTTATTATCCGGCCTCTCTCTACTTGTCCAGCAGTCCCACACCTTTGGTTGCTTTCTCTGATTTTGTGAGTTCACTGCCGTCGAATTTCTCCATTGGAAATATTGCACAACATTTATCTGCTCATGTTTTGGCTATGTCATGCTCTGCCTTCTCTATACCCATACACATTCCTGCCTCACTGTCCAAAGTCGAACATGCACCTCTGTCCGTGTCACCTACTCAGGACTCTGTCCCACTTATTACTGTACCTCTGTCTAAAACTTCCCGAAAGGGAAAGGAGAAACTGTCTGTTTCAGGTACTGCAGAAAAGAGGAAGGTGTCTCATTTAGATGATATGGAAACTCAATCTGACCGTATGCATCAAAGGAGGGGTTCCACTCTTCCACCCAGACTCACTCGGTCACGAGCCCTCACTAAATCACCAACTGTACTAGTTCCATCCGGCTCAAAATCAAAGGGGTCCCGCAAAACTTACGAAGGAAGAAGCTTTAACGAAGAACAATTCCTCAGTACTTTGAAGGCTACAAACACTCGGGAAGTTAGTACACACTCTAACACTCCTCCTTTAATTGGTATTACCTCAATACCCGAGTTTGAGAATCCTAATGTGTTACCTTTTTACTGGCAACCTTCTTTCGCAGTCTTCATTTGCCATTTATATTTTTTTAATTTTTTTTCTCTGTTTTAAATGTGCCTAAGATGAATTTTGTCTTTTATTTTATGTGAGTGGCTTTAAAATTGGACATGAATTATTCATTCCAACTTCTACATGTGTGTATCTCTGAATTTATTCACACATCAGGTACATTTGATCATTTTGGATTCGTTCTCTTTACTTGTTCGTTTAATTTTTATCTTTAAAGTGTTCGTTTAATTTGCCTGGGTTACTCTTTATGTTTGGTTATTAGATGTTTCTGTATGTTCACTACATGTCCTTTTTACATTTAATTTGCTTGGGTTACTCTTTAAAGTGCCCGTTTAATGTGCATGGATTAAAGTGTTCCTTTTTGTTCATTTAATTTGGTGCAATTTGATTAATGTGTTTATTCTCTTGTGTTATTTTATGTTTATGTGATTGTGGTTTGTTTGGTCCGGTCATGACCGTATTTGTGTTTATTCATGTGTTTCCCGCGCTATCTGTGCCTCAATTATTTATTTGTGTGTTTTCCGTGATATCTGGCCTGAATATGTGCCTAAATTTGGTTCATATGTGTCTGTGTCTGAATTTGACTTATTTTGAATCTTTGGCTTGCTTTACATGAATGTGCTTACTGTTTTATACTTTTATTTGATAATTTGTTTGACTCGAATTGAGAATTGAAAATTCCTGAATTTTTTTCTTATGTGTTTTGCTGAGTTGTTTGCAAGTTGCGTGTGCATGGCTCTAGGGCTCTCATTTTTTAAAAAAATCTTCTGCAGGTTCAAACAAAGCAAATAACTTATTGGAGTCCCAATTACAGCTTCAAGCTAATGTGAAATTCTTGGCAAAGGAAACAATCACGATGTACATTTTGAGGGGGAGTTCTTCTTAATCTCTTATGAACAAATTTAATTTGTGTATTTATTGGGTCTTTTCGGTTATATTGGACTTCTTGGGTATATATGGATTTTCTTACTGGACTCTATCTGTTTTTGGATTATCTCGTTGGGTTATCGTTTTATTTGGCTTATCATAATCTCTGGGGTCTCATTTTATAATCATCACCTTATTTGGATTATTCTTGGATTATCTACTTGATGAGATTATTTCTGAAGAATATTTTGGATGGGATTGCTTATAAGGCTTTATCTTCTTGGTATATGATATCTGATACTGATGATGCTGATCATGGCTCAGTTTCGGGCACCCCGTCTGCACGGTAAATCTAATCCACTATTATGATGTTCACCTTCCTTTGTCATTTATGGAGTAAGGGGGAGTATTACGGAGTATTATGGTAACTTTTGGAGATTTTGGAATCTTTTGGATTATTATGGTATCTTTTGGACGTATTGGATCAGTATGGAATTTTTGGTAAGGACTATGATGGAATTTTTGGTAGTTTGGCAGTGGTTACATTTGTTTGGTTGTTTTTTGGATTTCATTATGGAAATAATAGAACTATATGTGTTAGGGGGAGTAGTAGTTTTGTTTGGTGCATCTAAACAAGTTGAATGGATGTTTTGGCTTATGCTACTCTCACATGAAGAAGTTATTATATGATGTGGTATGCTATGAATTCAATGCTTCTGTGTGTGATCCAAGACTTGAAGAATTCCAATCAGGTACTTTATTCACAAATGGTCCAAAAAGAACTTAAGTTGTTATTTTTTATTTTATATCTTTGTGTCTTGTTAAGTACCTATACTAAGGGCTATAAATAAAATTAAATTGATTCTTGCCCAAAGTATTTGATACTCAAGTTTTTCCAAATAAAATGCCAAAGGGGGAGATTGTAAGTGTAAAATAATTTACACAATATTGGTTATTTTATTTATTAGTCTCATTAGCTTTAAATTAAATTAGTGTTGTTAGATTTATTTCTTTTATGGACCATGTGATTACAAAATAAGTGGCTAGCATGCATTGGTGAATAAAGTCTATGATGAAGCCTTCAAAGAAAGATGTGTGGCTGTGACTTATTCGAACAGTGAAAGCAAGGAAAGGGGCTACAATTAAGGATCAAATAAAGGGACTCATGAAGTACTATAAAAGAGAACTATTCGAATGAAGACACTGCTAATCTGATTATTACAAATTTGAGAGAGTTATCCTGATTTACTAAGATATTGATTTTTAATGTGATTTATTATTTAATTCCTAAGAGTATTTAATCTGTACTACATGATCAGTACGTGGTACTGCTGAAACAACTTGTGAAGATTGTTCGGGCATTCGTGTGTCAGTCCTGGATAGGTGTTAGAAAGAGTGGTAATGGTAAAGGCTGGAGGCCGTCTTCATTTACCTCTTGTAATACTCCTTTTGGTGAACATCTATAGTGGATTGGGCAGACGTGGGTTGCCCCGCAGACGTAGGAGAAGGAGCTCCGAACTGCGTAACAATTCTTTGTGTTTTTAATTATTTTATGCTTTCTGCAGTTATTATTTATACTTGCTTAAACGAGTTTAAATTAATTAACTAAATTGGTGCATATCTTAATTAACAAGTAAAAACACATAGCTTTTATTTTACAAGTGTCACGGTGCAATTTCAGTTAAGTTATTAAAAAAAAAATAATAATAAACCTACAATTCAATCCATAAAACAAACTAAAAAAGTATTCAACTTATAACATTCATAAAATGATAAAATAACATCTAAAAATCATAATTAAAGAAGTCCATGCTAGTTTTTAGAATAAAATTAAACACAATAAAAATTCAAATTTCAGATTGTTTAACATCAATAATTGGTGTAGGATCTTGGCCTAATGTAGTAAATTCATCCTTAGTCATGCTCATAATATCTTTTGTAATCTCATTCATTACAATGGTTATTACCGAAATGACAATGGTTCTTAGCGGGTTATAAACAGATTAGTGTTAACGGGTTCGTGTAAACGGGTTAACATGATAATATTAACGTGTTAAACGGGTTCTTAACATGTTTAACAGGTTGACCCACGAAACATAACAGGTCATTAACGGGTCAACCCGTTAATGACCCGGGACACGTTAAGGCTAAACACTAACCCGTTATTTTCGTGTCGTGTTAACGGGTCGTATCCATAATTATCAGGTCTACTTTCAACATAATTAAATAGAAAAAATTGTATATAGCAATAATTTATGGAATGAGTTTACAATTTAGGTATAATTAATAACTAAAATGTCATTTTTTCTTGAATAAATTTAGTAGTTTCTCAATCACTCGGGAAAAAGAATTCTACCTCCCCTAGATGAGATATTCACAGGCTACCAAACGCCTTATAAAGGTGAAGAAGACAACGGAACATTGACTCTGCTCCTAAGGAGGAGTGTATTCAATCAAGACTTATATAAACTTTTAAAGACTTTTACCAACTTTAATTCCATTTACAAAATTACATGCATTTACAAAATGTACCCAGCCTCAGTGGAGTTACAAAATTGTTGCTTCAATTCTTGAATGTTGGATCCTTCTTATGGGGTGTTTGGTAGGATGGAATTGCAATTCCTTCCAACCATAGAATTGCAATTTCACACTTTCTGGAATTGTAATTTCATGATAAATTATCATTTTATCCTTCTTATGATTATTAAAGTATATATTATTATACAATGACATTTTAGTCTTTATTCATTTCTTCCATTTCAATTCTCAATCATTTTATTCCTTCCTACAAAACAATATAATTTAAATTCGCACTTTATTCTTTTCTCATGGAGTTACAATTCCTCCCCCTCCCCACCCCCCCCCCCCCCTCTTAATTCCCTTCTTCCAATCAAACGCAAAAGTTTGGTAGTGTTCGATTTATATTTTTATAGACTCTTTAAAAGTCTGTTGGTATTAGAGCTGCGGTTGATCAGGCTGAGAAACGTGGGCAGAATCGACACCCGGAGTGGATGTTAAGGGGTTTTAGAGCGGCGGTTGATGATTGTGGCCTCGTGGATGTCCCTTTTGAGGGGTATCAGTATACGTGGAACAGGTTCCGTGGCACTGACCGAATGGTGGAGGAGAGGATAGACCGTATTATGGCTTCGGAGGACTGGTTGATTATGTTTGAGGATGTGAGTGCTCAGTCTTTAACTGTCACGTATAGTGACCATATGCCATTACAGTTAACGCCAGTTGTAGTCCCAGGTGTGTATAGGCGGCCAAGATTCTGTTTAGATAATGCTTGGCTACGGGAAGATGCTTGTAGGGAGATTGTGACGCAAAGCTGGGTACGGACGGCGGGGATGGATACTATCACAAGGGTCCACGAGTGTGCTCGGGATATTGGGAGGTGGGGCAGACACTATAATAAAAATTTCCAACGGAGAATTGAGCAATGTAAACGACGAATTGAGGTCCTGAGGCCGCGCCGTGATATTGCAAGTATGAATGAGTATGCTGCAGCTGAGAAAGAGTTGTTATATTTGCTTAAGCAACAGAGCATTTACTGGAAACAGCGGGCTAAAGAGCACTGGTACAAGGGAGGGGATGCCAATAGTAAATTCTTTCATAATTCTGTCAAGGCCCGACGAAGGAGGAATAAGGTCAGGAGGTTGCGGGATGATGGTGGTGATTGGGTTGATGATGAGCAGGGCCTGGGACGGTTGATGGTGGCCTATTTTGAAGGTTTGTTTGCCCCGGATAATGGAGAAATGCAGGAGGTTATTGATGCGGTGGCAGAAAAGGTCGACGGTCGTGACAATGCTTCTTTGTTGCGCCCTCTTAGCATGGAGGAGGTACGGAGTGCAGTTTTCCAGATGCATCCGGACAAGTCACCGGGGCCGGATGGCTTTGGACCGGGGTTTTTCCAGCACTTTTGGGACATAGTCGGAGGGGAGGTATGGTCTTTCTGTAAGCTCTTTCTTGATACTGCTATGCTACCTGATAAGGCTTCTGAAACTTTTATTGTCCTAATTCCGAAAAAATCGAACCCGGAAACTATGAGGGATCTCCGCCCCATCGCTTTATGCAATGTTGTATATAAGATAGCTGCAAAAGTGTGTGCCAATAGGATGAAGGATATGTTACAGAAGTTGATCTCGCCTGCACAAGGTGCATTCATACCCGGCAGGCTCATTTCAGATAATATTATGTTAGCATTCGAAGCACACCACTATTTGAAATGGAAGACTAAAGGTCGGGATGGGGTTGTGGCACTGAAGCTCGACATGTCGAAGGCTTATGATCGAGGTTGAGTGGTTGTTTTTACAGGCGGTAATGGTTAAATTGGGGTTTGACAGGCGGTGGGTTGATATAATTATGCATACTGTGACCTCTGTGCGATATCATGTGTTACATGAACACAAGCAGTTAGGTCCTATCATCCCGGGAAGGGGTCTGCGACAAGGGGATCCGCTCTCACCTTATTTATTTCTGTTTGTTACAGAAGGGTTGAGTGCATTGTTAGAGAAGCGGATGGCCGGGGGACTGCTGCATGGTATCACGGTAGCTCGGGGTGCACCCTCTATTTCGCACCTCCTGTTTGCGGACGATTGCTTTTTGTTCCACCGTGCAACTGTAGACGAGAGCGAGCACATGAGGTATGTTTTAGACACTTATTCACAGGCTTCTGGGCAGTATATTAATTATGAAAAGTCTGCAGCTTGTTTTAGTATGAATGTTAAGCAGAATGTACGGAATGAGGTTGTGGATATCTTGGGGGGTCGAGGAGGGTGGTACGAGTGGAAGGTATTTGGGGTTGTCGTCCCTAGTTGGCAGGCGTAAGAAGGCAATTCTCTCTTTTGTTAAGGATCGTATTCTGTCGAGAATAAGATCGTGGAATATGAAGAACCTGTCTCGGGCAGGGAGGGAGGTGTTGTTGAAGAATGTAGTACAGGCAATTCCCACATATGCTATGATGATTTTTTTGCTGCCCCTTGGGCTATGCCGTGAGATTGAAATTGTGATGAATCAGTACTGGTGGACGGGCAGTGTAGGAGGGGGTCGTGGTATAAGGTGGCGTGCTTGGGATGGTTTATGCCTGCCGAAGTCGTGTGGTGGGTTAGGGTATCGCCGGTTGCATGATATGAATAAAGCGTTGCTCGGGAAGCAAGCCTGGCGTCTAGTCACTAGGCCCGCTTCGCTGGTTGCACGTGTTTATAAGGCCCGTTATTACCCTGACTGTGATTATTTTAGCACCAAGGAGGGGTCTAATCCCTCGTTCATATGGAGGGGCATGCTTGCGGTTCAAAGTCTAATGAAGAAGGGCTGTAGAAGGGTTGTGGGGGCTGGGACTGATATTATAATTGGCAGGGATCCTTGGTTACCAGATGATCAAAATCTCTATGTTACAACGGAGTTGCACCAGTCTATTCTTGACGCCCCTGTTGCGTCTTTACTTGATCCTCAAGGTACATTATGGGATGTTGATTGTGTTCGTGATATTTTTGATTCTCATGATGCTAATCTTATTTTGAATATTCCTGTTTGTTTGAGGAGGCCTCTGGATCGCTGGGCTTGGCATTGGGATGAGAAGGGCATGTATACTGTGAAATCATGTTACAAACATTTGACATACATGCAGGCTGATGGAAAACCATGGTTAAAGTTATGGAATTTACATATACCTCCGAAGGTAAAGTGTTTTGGTTGGCAGCTTGCTTCGGCTTATCTCCCTACACGGGATGCTTTGTGCTCTAAAAATGTTCAGTGTGGGTTGGATTGTTATATGTGCAGGTTACATGATGAGTCTGCGCTTCATATGTTTGCTTATTGTGTGGAAGCCAAACGCATTTGGACTAATATGGGGCTGCCGCATTTATGTTTATATTCTGGTAATAATATTATGGACTGGTTTTTCTGGTGTTTGAGTTCTTTGGATATTGCTAAGATGCCTTATTTTGTAATGGCTTGTTGGGCTATTTGGTCAGGGAGGAACGACAGTGTGTGGAATGGCATTGTGTTTAACTCTAGTGTGCTTGTCCAAAGAGCCTTTAGTTTTTTGGAGGGGTGGTTGAGTGCGAATGCCATGGGGTCTGATCACGGCGTCACTGATCCTGTTGAGCCCTGGATAGGGCTACGGCAAGGGTGGTATAAATTGAACTCGGATGCTTCGTTGGACCATGGTACAAACCGTATGGGGCTAGGCTGGGTGATTCGTGATGATCGGGGGAGGTTCATGGCTGCTAAGAATATGGTTGTAGATGGTTTTTATCGGGTGAAGGAGGCAGAGGCCATGGGTTTACGGGAGGCTTTGAGTTGGTTGAAGGGCACCGATATGGGAGGAGTAGAGATTGAAATGGATTCACAAGTACTTTTTCATGCCATCCGTTCTGCTTCATTTAATTCTGCTTTTGGATTACTAGTAGATGATATTAAAAATTTAGCATCCGACATTGGTGATGTTGAATTTAATTGTGTTAGGCGGTCTGCGAATAGTGCAGCCCATACTCTTGCTAGGGCGGCCTTTTCTATGTCAGATTGCGGGGAGTGGTTGGATTCACCACATGCTTTTCTTGTAAACGTTCTTGAAGCTGATTTAATGAATTAATTCCTTCTTCTCAAAAAAGTCTGTTGGTATTCGATTCAAACTTTTAAAAAGTCTTTAAAAGTATACCAGTATTAGATTCAGACTTTTATAATCTTTTAAAGTCTACTGGTATTAAAAAATAATAATAATAATAAATAAATAAAATAAAAAACTTATTAACTTTTATAGATTCTATCAGAATAAGATTTATTTTCAGAATTATCTACGTACTTTTTTTCTCTATCTTAACCAAACAAACTTTTCATCAATTCCTATCAAAGTACATTTTAAAACTTTCATAAATATTCATATACTTTTATTTTTATCTCTTTATTTTTTATACATATTTATAAAAAATAAAAAAAAAAAAAAAATTATTACGAACAACTAAAATTTATTAATGTCCATTATAAATTTTTTTTGTTGCAAACAGCACAAATTTTTGCTGTTGTTCACAGCAACTAAGTCCACCATAGAAACTAACAACTAATAATATTCTCCTACCATTTAATCGACTCACTACTTACCAATCACACACAATAATTAGTTAAAATTAAAATATAGAAATATTTTTATTGGCTATATCATTTAGTAAAAATTAATTATATTTTCTTTATGTATAATATATTTTATTTTTGGGACATCCATGGTTGTTGTTGTTGTTGTTGTTGTTATTATTATTATTATTATTATTATTATATATTATGCATTCATTTATTTATGATTTATAAAAGTATATTAGGAATTATAAACATTTTTGTAAGAAAATTATAAATATTATAAATAATGTATTAATAGAAATTATCAAATATTTGAAGTTACTTTTGTAGATTTTTATAGACTCTACAAAATTGATATAAGTTAAAAAGATTTTTTATGAAAAAATCTAAAAAAATTCTACCAAAATCATTTAAAATTCTCTCTTTAAAAGTTTTTAAAAATCTATAAAAATCTTAATTGAATACACTACCCTAAAGTTTGCTCTTCCAATGTCTTATTTAGGGTGGATTCCTTTGCTTTTAGGATCATTAATTAGATTCTTCTATTGAGTGTAATGTGCGTTTTGTAATTTCATGATGATAATAATAATAAATCATTTCAAGCCCTCAAAAAAATCAAACTACAATTAATTTTAAAATAAAATTCGATACCAAAAGGGGAAGAAACATGTCATCAGAAATTCTTGCTTCACCATAAAATCAAAGACAAGATTCCCAAATTCCAAACACTACACTATACACAACTTGAGTGTCCAAGAAGTTAGTTAAAACCACCCTGAGAAATGGGGTCCAGTAGCAAGTAAGGGAAGCTGCTATTATTCCAATTCAATTGTCATCATCAAATAAAATTAAATTTTAATTTCCCCTACTGACTAAAAAAAATAAGCTAAGGTATGCCTGTTGGAGGCCCCCCACAACCCACATCAACCAACAACCCATTACCCTCAAGAACACATATCTTCTTTTCATCTTTTGCTATATGTTCTTTCATCCTTTTGCTACACTCCTCCCCCCTCTCTCTCACTATATACCCCCCCTCCTTCTCTCTGCACAACTGGGCAACTCAAGTCTGAGAGATACATAGCATAGCAGTAGCAGCAAACATCAAGGTCGGTTTTCTGAACGAAAATCTCCCAGGCAAGGCAAAAATATTATTATTCATTATTACTGGTCATCGTTCAATCTTGCGTTTCTTTGCCTGTCTTCGCATTTGTTCCCTTCTTTCCTCTTCTTCTATCTTACGTAGCTCTTCTTCATCCTCCTCCCTCGCAATCTTGGCACTGCAACAAAACCAGATAGATATTACAATCACAGAACTGAGTCAATATTCCAAAACCCAACAAGGAATGTACAGCATCAATTACAAGTTAATGTAATAATTAATCAAAACCCATGCTGCTCATGGGAAATATTCTTTTTTGTTGTTAAAGTTGGAGAAAGATGATGAAAACTTGATTTCCAAATGAAGTTTCACTTGAATTTAAATCAAGGGTAATATGCAGGTAATACACCATTACTCACCTCCGTCTTTCCTCCTTCAGTATGTCATCAAAACCAGCCTCCATATCACTAACATCATCATCATCGCGGTACCTATTGGGATTATACCTGCAAAAGCACATAACATTTCAGATCTTCAAACATAAAAATATAAAGCTTAGTCCTTTAAAAAAGCATATTGCCTATTACAAACAAGCTAAAGACCCAAAGCAGTGAACTTGTGAAGAATGTTACTTACCCAAACATCTGTCTAATCATACTAATAGCTGCTGCTCCATCTTCTTCTTCATCATCCCATCTCTTCATAGGTCTCTTTGCCGGGCGCTGTGCTGGATTTTTCACAGGCGGTGGCTGCTTAATCTGCCAGTACCAAGATTACATTTACAGTCAAGTGATAGAATTGTAAAAGCAGAAAGAGAATAGGAAAGAATAAACTATATCATTCAACAACAAATATAAGAAGAACCAGATCATACCTGGGGGGGTCTAGAAGATGGAACCACTCGTTTCTGCATCACTACCTGAGGTTTAGAGGAGGGCACTGCATGTTTCTGCATTGCCACCGGAGGTCTTGAGGATGGCATAGCTTGTTTCTGAATCATTTTTGGCTTGCTAGATTGTTGAGGCATCTTTTTCTGTACCAAGGCTTGTTTTGAAATGGAAGGTTGCTGTTTTGAAGGGTTTGGCCTAGGCAAGTTAGGCATGGGTCTCTTTACATCCAATGTTGAAGACTTCCTCTCATTCATACCTGTTGAAGACTTCAAAGGATGATTTTTTGATGCCATAGGCTGACCCCGAACACTCCCATTACTTCTAATAGGTTCTTTCTTAGGTTCTCTTGCTGGCTGACTTTGTTTACTGACAGAAACATTTTTCTGAATCGCAGCTTTAGGTTTCATTTGGCTAACCCCACCAGGAAGAGGCTTCCTGCCATCATGACTGTTAGGAAGTTTTCTCCCTGTACTGCTGCTAGAGGGGTTCCTCTCCCTAGGTACAAATTGTGCTGGCCGTGAATCTTCAATATCACCAAAAAGCCTGTATAAGTCCTCAATAAAATAGTATTTTAAAAGATATGATTGACATGCAGTAATAGACAAAAGGAATACCAGCATTGGGAGCAGAGCTTTTTTGAGGCAAAGAAGCTTTTGAAGGAGCAGGAACATCCGCATCATCAGATAACAAAAAGGAATAATCCCTTGTGTTTTTTAGCATCTGGATTTTTGTTTTAACCTACAAAATCAAGCAAATGGTAGAACCAGGTGAGCAAAAAAGAATAACCAAAACAAAACCTCAACAAATTCCAGCAACTAAATAATTACCCCATTGGAAACTTTTGGTGCATGGTTACTGGTACTGGACTTTGGTCTCGCAGAGTTCGAGGCATGAACCTTATTACCACTCTGCAAAGACAACAGATTACAAAGACATAAGCATATCTCAAGCCATATTTACTTCATTGAACATCAGTTTTTAAAGAAAACACCACTTTGGGAAAAGAAAAACCAAGACAGATGAAGAGTATCCAATTTCGAATATGTACTAAAACACTAATACATACAGCAATATTTTTCCTCATAACTTTATCTGCCAAATCAGGGTTCTCCAATAAGGACTTGCTTTCTTGAATTACTCTTTGAGCTATAACTGGCTGTGATGGTCCAAAGAAGGAACCAAAACTGCAGGAACAAAGAGAAAAGACCATAGAAAATTAGAGTACATCTTTTTTCCTCCCTCCATAAAGATGACACATTTTACACAAAATGTTGACACGCAGAAGCAAATCAATACAACCATCTCAACAAGGCTTTTTTTTTAGTAAAACAGAAAATTTTGCCACTCTCAAGGAGACCAATAAAAAGTAGAAAGCTTAAAGAAACAAAGCATCATGGATAGCAGGCATGACAACAATGCAGAATATGAAACCTTACAAACTAATAAAGTGATAGAGAAAAGAAAGGGAAAATGTGATCAGTTCCCAAAAAAATAAAAATAAAAAATATTATCATCCTCCAAAACTAAACATGTTATAAAACTGTAACAGCACTTAAATATACAATCTAGTTGGACCAAAGTCAGCAAAAAAAGCTAGAATACTCACTTATCCTTGGATGAAGAACTCTTGATATTACGGGAACTGGAAGCACTTCCAGTTCCCATCTCTTTCTTCATCTTCTTTCTAAATCTTTCTTTCAGTTTTTGCCTTAGTTCCAAATATTCCAACTCCTCCATTGAAGGCTCATGTGTTTCTTCCTGCTCACACTCCTCCTCCTCTTCATAGCCCCCTTCCTCATCTTCACCATCCTCTTCATACTCATCCAAATCCTCATATTCCTGCATAAATACTATGTGATGCACATAACTAGGGATAAAACATAATTTAGACACAAATATGGTGTACATAGTATAGCTTACATCACTGGCATATCTCGACATAGCTGGTTGAATCATTCAATGTGATTACAAATTGTACACAGAAAGCCTGAAATGTAAAACCAGAGAGTTATTACCATAACAAAAACAGAAGTAATAACAACTCAAGGAGAGATACATGTCCATTTTAGTTAAAAATTTCAATTAGAAAATCAAAGATTCCGAGACATTATAAATTCAGATCAACCCTTGAAGCATCGTTTTTTTTTCTTTTTTTTACTTTTTAAATTCAGAAAATCAAGTCCAGATGGTTTCACGAGTCAAATTTTCTAAAAATTTCAATTCTTTACTAGCAGTCGATTCAATTTTCAGATAAAATCGATAACAAAAAAATAAAAAATAAAAAATCTCCGATTGCGATAAGGACCTCATCGATAAACGAAGAAAATCCCTAATTCCAAAAAAAAATCCATTGACAACTCAAACCCTGAAAATAAACACAATAACTCAATGATCTGATTAAGTGACAAAACCAGAAACCTGGAGAGAAACACAATCGGATTACGTGAAAAAAAAAACGGGAGAAAACCCTAATTTTTCCAAGAACCGAATCAGAACCAAAATCTTGGCGATGAACACCAAAAAAACAGAATCGAACATCGTAAAAACAAAGAAATTCGAGATTTCAAACGAAATCAACGTGTAATACCTGAATCGATGCTGAAAAAGCTGGGGAATCAGTCAAAACGATCGGAAAAGGCGAAATCGAGCGCAGATGCGAAGAGAGCAAATCCGAGGGATTTCAGATCTGGAGAAACGGCTAATGCGAATATATGCACGTAGAAGGCGCGACGACGGAGGGATGCGTTGAGAAATTGTTGATTCGGTGTGCAGGTGGGAAAGATAAAAGGCCGAAAGGGCGTAGGGAAACGAGGGAAGGACCCAGAAACAACGGGGATGTATGCTAACGTGCGCCGGGAGGCGTTTTTTATTATGCTGTGTAGTGCATAGACTTTGGGCCTGACCTAAACCCGGTTTGCTCCCCTTCTTATCCATGCTTTGGGCTTAGAAATTAGAATAGACCGCTGCCATAAACTGCACTTCGCGTCACCTTTTATGTACTTAAAATACTTCGGCGTTTGAGTTTGAGTTTGAGTTTGAGTTGGAGTTTTGCACTTGTGGACCTTAAATTACTATACATTATCGTTTTACTTAATTATTACCTAAAATCTTTTTCATATTATTACCCTTTTATACATTTTATCAAGAGTTTATAAACATAACACTATATATTTTTAACAAATTAGAAAAATTATTAAAATTTATATCTATATCTATATCTACTCTATTCTATATTATTAATAAAAGTAAAATCCTTATCTTCAACTCTTCGCCCAAATTAATATGGATATTAATTAATTGGTAAAAAAAATTATTAAAGCTTAATTGGTAACAAAATTTTATATGGAAATTAACTAATATCTAATGGATTGTTACCCCAAATTAAAGTCAATATATACTTTAAAATGGAAAATTGTTACCAAATTCTGAGAATAATTAAACCATTATAATTGTGCGAATAATGGAAACAAATTATGCATAATAAATGAAAAAATTCCTTGAAAATTCTGTGTATTTTTATAAGGAAATGATAATTTATTAATTGTTTTTTTAATACTGTTGACTCTATTACAAGGTAGTATCTGTTCTATATTTTTCTAACTACTGCAGCCCAAAGAGTCAATACCTCACCACCGGGTTCGATCGTGTGACCTTCCCTCAACTCTACACACGCAGAATACTTATTTTGCGTAATAGTAATTTTTGAAGATTCCTTTTCCAATTTATTTGTTTAAAGATTGATTCCTTCATTTATTTGCGTAAAAATGGATTCTTTTTCCTATTTATTATGCATTTGTAAACTCTATTTACACCAAATACGCATGGCTTCAACTTCAATCGATATTGTTGGACATGAAATTTCTCCTAGAAATAGAAGGAATGCAATCAAGGTTAGAGTGGTGCATACCTATGAGATTCTAGTCTAGAGAGAATATGTGCTGAAACAATCAAGTCTATATATTGCGTATCGAATGATGAAGAGATATTGTATTTATACTATCGTCTGAATATTTTTTAATTCAAAAGGTTTTGTTTATGCATATGATTTTTTTACTATATTTTTTTTACACTTCAATTTCAGGGAACTTTTCTTCATGCACATATTCCTAAAATTTATGTTCAAAAGCGGATGAAGAAATTTAAACAAGGGCGAGTTTACAGAATTAATAGTATATATTGACAAAAATTTTATATGCAAATTAACAAATATATTAGAATTTCGTTGAAATTTTCCATATAAAATTTTGTAATATATTAGGCAATATATACTAATATGAATATCTAATAAATTGCGTGTTATGAATATGGATTATTAGATGATGACAAGGAGTACATCGACGTCATTATTGACTTGAGTTACTAAGCATCCATGTATGCTTTGTAAAGGTTTTTTGCTACGCTGCTGACTTCAAGTTCAATCAGTAGGCCAGAGGTGGTGTGGAATGCCGTTTGGGAATTCCTTGCAGAGGATACACAGTTTCAGCATCGACGTCGCATGCACAATCCAGGTATATCGCCCTCCAATATATTTAATGCATTTGAGAAGATAGAAACACAATCCACAATCTCTACCTGTAGAATGTGGTTTCTTCATGCCTGACTCCATTATGTCTGCTTCTTTCTATGATTCTTCTCTTTTGTTTATTCTTTTTTTTTTTTTTTTGTGCAGTCGTGACTGTTAGAGCCTTGTCTACATTCTACCGTCTTCTACATCCTCCGCCGCCACCATGAAAATTCAAGAATGGTTCTTTTGCAACTTTGAGCCATTTTTTCCGATGAAGAACTCACAGTGGTGGCTATCTTGCGAACTATGAGCACTTATTTATAGTATTGTCTATTATTATAGAAGCTTATGTATATTTAATGCTAGTCTTGAAGATTGCATAAGTCATCTCATATTTAAATTCATATTGTATTGATGTCATGTAATTATTATTTATACGAAGATGCAAGATGAATATCCTCTGGAATGTAAACAAAAATTCTGATATGCAAATAACCTTTCAAATTTCAAGACATTTAATCTCAATGTGATACTACCTTGTAATAGAGTCAATATTATTTTTTTAAAAAATCTCAAATGTGATTAATGAATTCGAAATTCTAAAAAAAAAAAAAAAACTCCAAAAACATCTGGCTTTATTCCAAAAAAAAAAAAAAAAAAAAAAAAAAAAAAAAAAACCAACATGTCTTTTGTAAGCCAAAACATTTGAGCGGGAAGTTTTGGCTCTATTATGCATCTCAAGGTGTGTGACTTTTTTATATAGTAAGATAAGATAAGATTAATTAAGTATAAGGTAAGATGAATATCCTCTTGAATGTAAACAAAAATTCTGATATGCAAATAACTTTTCAAATTTCAAGACATTTAAATCTCAATGTGATTAATGAATTCGAAATTCTTAAAAAAAAAAAATTTCCAAAACATATGGCTTGCCAAAAAAAAAAAAAAAAAAACAAAAAACAAAAAACAAAAATATCTTTTGTAAGCCAAAACATTTGAGTGGGAAGTTTTAGCTCTATTGTGCATCCCAAAGTGTGTGGCTTTTTTATGTAGTAAGATAAGATTAATTAAGTATAAGACAATATGAATATCCTCTTGAATGTAAACAAAAATTCTAATATGCAAATAACCTTTCAAATTTCAAGACATTTAAATCTCAACGTGATTAATGAATTCGAAATTCTAAAAAAAAAAATCCCAAAACACATGGCTTTATTCCAAAAAAAAAAAAAAAAAAACTAAAACATCTTTTGTAAGCCAAAATATTTGAGCGGAAATTTTTGACTCTATTGTGCATTCCAAGATGTGTGGCTTTTTTATATAGTAAGATAAGATAAGATAAGAAGTAATATAAAATCGCCTCAATATAACATGTTAAATGGTGTAATTATAATTTTTAAAAGTGTAGAGGCTACTTAATTTTTTAGGTAAAGTTTAGGAACTAATTATTATTACATAAAGACATTTTATTCTTTATATCTTGTCTTCCTTTCCTATTCACAATTATTATATTCTACCCTATCAAATAATGTAATTTAAAATTTAAAATTCTACTTTATTCTCACATTATGCTTCTATCATGAAATTATAGGGTCCGTTTACTAACAGAAAACTGTTCTCATTTTCTAATTTTTCAGTTTTCATTCTCTGTTTTCTGTTTAGAAAACTTGTTTACTAACATAAACTGTTCTCTGTTTTCTGTTTTCTAATTTTTTAGTTTTCACCTAAAATTTAGTTTAGATAATATTAATATTTTTGAGCTAATATTTAAAATATTTTTTTTTTGGATATATTCATTTGAATGACATGTATATGAATATATAACTTTTACTTTGAATTCTAATATATCTGAGATTTCAATATTCGATATCTAGACCGAACTTGCATTATGATGTAACATAATTAAAAATATTCGAACTAATAATATATTGAGTTCAATCAAAATCTAAAACATTATATAGAGTTTAATTCTTAATTTTGATAATGTAAATAATGTCTAACTTTAAAGTGTAAGCAAATAAATTATGTTTAAATAACTAAAGTAAGTAGAAAAGATATAAAATAGTGATAAGTAAAATAAGATGATAATGAATGTAATCATAGTAATGTGGTTATAGTGACATATAACTAAATAGATGATAGATGATTCTGTTTTCTATTTTGAAAACAGTTTTTAAGTGTGTTTCAATTTTCCAGAAATTTTCAGAAATTATTTTTAGTTTTGAAAATGGAAACTGTGTTAGTAAACATGTTTTTTGTTTTCTGTTTTCCAATTTTCAAAAATTTTCAGAAATTTCCAGTTAGTAAACGGCCCCATAATTTTTTTTCTCTCTAATTCACTCATCCCAATCAAACCACAAATGAGAAAAGTTTGACATCTGAAGCAATACGCTTATACGCTAACATAATTGAAAAGGTGGCCTCTTGATCTAAATAAGGGGGGAAATTGAAAAGAAAATGAAGCTCCGGGGTCTAAATGATAATAAGCCACTCTTTTATTTACTTAGCAAAGGCCAAATGGGTATGTTTGAAATCGGGTCTATGCTCTGCCATGGCCGTGGCGATTGCTAGACCGTTAATCCGGCGGCTTTTCTTTCCCTCCTCAACCACCATATCGCCGCCGACTCCGAATCCTCCTCTCCCGAAATCCGAGCTCCTCGCAAACAATAATTTCGCCACTTCCACCACTCGCGCCAGGAGAAACAAAACGAAAGCCAATGAGATTACGAGCAGTATCGCGCAGAAGAAGAAAAGCAGGGAGTCTCTGGTGAAGAAAAGGACGCGGTCAGAGAAGGAGTTTGACGAGGATAGCTTTCTGAAGCTCTACGGGAATGAGAATTCTTCCCACGTCCCCGTCTTGCTTGGCGAAGTGTTGGATGTTTTTGCCTCTCTCCGCCTCCGCTCCTTCGTCGATTGCACTCTCGGCGCCGCCGGTCACTCTTCTGCGGTTAGTTTATGGACTTATGCTAGTAGCAAAAGTTTAAACACTTAGGTCTTTGCAGTTCTCTTAGAAAAGGTGAGGCGAAAATGAGAATGGAACACTTGGAATCGTGGTCAATAAAAAATGCTAAAAGAGACTGTTAAATTTTTGCAATTTTGATGGCTATCTTGTTGAATATGCAGAAATGGTTGATTTAACAATTGTTAGATGGGAAAGAAATATACAATCACTACTTGGTAGTTGGTATATGTTGCCTTGATGAGATGTTACTATTCATTTGCACTAATTTTTAATATAAATAAGTTAGTAGTGCCACACCAAACTTGGATGTTCAATTTTGGATGAAGTCATTATTAATGACACAATGATCAAATTCAAATAACAAGAAATCTCTAAAGGCCATATCTGTTTTTAGCTGTCAATTGTTTTAGAAAATTAACATTTTGTATGCACAATGCATCTAAGAAAAGAAGATCTTTATAGAAAATTATCAAAAGCGAAAAAGTGAAGAAATAAAATTGCAATTTGGATAATCTGAATAAGTCAATACCATGAAAAGGCTTACAGGTTTGTAACCTGTATTGCCTTGTTGCATCCACTGTTTACGTTCTTGCTTTGCCTTGGTTTGTTTCTCTTGTATTCTGTGAAATTGCTGAAGGGAATATTCATTGCTTTGTCATCATGTTCTTTTATGTACAGTGTAGGAAGGCCCAAAAGTACAAAATGACTTCCTTGAATTGAGTGTTTTCATCCCATTACTGTGTTCTTTGCTGATTTTCAATTTTTGTGATGTAAATACCAGATTATTCAGGCTCATCCTGAAATGCAAGTATATGTAGGGCTTGATGTTGATCCACTTGCACATCAAATGGCTCAAGATCGAATAAATGTTATCTTAAAGAAGGATTCTAGTTACACAGATTCAGATTTGAAGGTGCATACCTATTTGAAAAATTTTAAGGATGTGAAGTCTGTGCTCTGTGAGGTTGACAAGGGACTATTAACTTCTGGAATTGATGGGATCTTGATGGACTTGGGAATGTCCTCTATGCAGGTGTGCTTTCATTAAATTTCATAAAAGCTCTAAAATTTGTGTGTTAGAAGTATTAGTTTATCTGACTCTTTAGCTATCATTATGCTCACCTCTTCTCTCATCTTAGCATTTCCCTCTCAAATTATTTCCATGTCTATGTTCTGTATGTTGTCTGTAGTTATGTATGCTTTTATTACTGCATGGTACAATTTAGCTTTTTAAGTAAACATACTTGTTTTTTATTTTATGTATTCATTTAGTTTTATGGTGGTTTCATAATCTTACTACTTTCAGCAATCTGTATTGCATTATTTTCTACATTGTTATGATAAGCTGCAAACAATTTTCTACTCTCTTTGATGATATGCAGGTGAATGATGCTGAAAGAGGTTTTAGTGTGCTGAAAGATGGACCCCTTGATATGCGAATGGATCCTAAGGTAGTTTCTTCTCTTAATCTATGCGACTTTGTAGTAGTCTCTTAACCACCATTTGATCTAATCGTGGATCAGCTCAAAATTTTGAAGCATGCACCACTTTTCTTTCAGAAGACTAATCTAGTTGCTTCAGTAACTTGTGTGAAAAACTTGCATGATCAAAACATTTAGGGTGTGTTTGGTTGGTGGGTTTTGGCCATAGGAATGGGTATGAAAGTGATTGTTGTTGTTTGGTTGATAGGTTTTTAGAACACTACTATGAGTTTTGAATACCCCATCAATTGAAAAACCTATACCCAAATAAAATAAGGGTTTCATTCCCTTATTCATTCTCAAGCACTACTATTAGTAACCAACTAACCATTCCCATTCCACCCTACTACCAAACATGTTAAATACTTTCACCAAAACCCATTACCATTACCAAGTATTTGATACCCATTCTGATTCCGATTCCTATGTGCGAACCAAACACACCCTTAATTTGCTGAATAAGAGAGGATTCCTTTTCCAGAAGTTGTATATTGTTATTTGTTCCTTTGTAATTTTGATAAATAGTTGTGATTTACTAAATGTCTGATCTACTCTATATATGGTAGTTTTCAGCTCCCTATTAAGGTAACTACTCTTATCTTTTATTGCTCCTTGTTATCTTTCATGGTTCCATCTTTTGCTATGGAAAGAGTGTTCATATTACATTTTTTGAATTAACTGATTTGAACAGGACTGTGGCAGGCAACTCTGAAAGCGGAAGACATATTAAATTCTTGGCCAGCTGCTGAGGTGGGGCGAATTCTACGCGATTATGGGGAAGAAAGCAATTGGCACTTTCTTCAAAACAAAATTGTTAAGGCCCGCTTGAGTGGAGGGTTGCACTCTACTGGTCAACTAGTTGATCTTATTCAGAATTCGACTTCTAGGACAAAAGGTTGTTTCTCTGTCCCCCCTTCTCAACTTGCAACTTCATAATCCTTAAATCAAAATAAATGTCTTCAACCTTCAATTTAGTCCTGCAGCTATAAGGCTTGTTTATATTCACATGGACTTGCTCTTAGTGATCATGGCAGCGATAGAATTGCAACATCTTGAAGTTTTTTTTTTTTTTTTTTTTTTTTATGTACTTGCAAATGCAGGAAGACAAGGTTGGATAAAGACAGCAACACGAGTGTTCCAAGCTCTTAGGATAGCTGTTAATGATGAACTCAGGACACTGGAGGATTCCATCTATTCGTGTTTTAACTCCCTTGCTCCTGGTGGGAGGCTTGCTATCATCTCATTCCACAGCTTGGAGGACAGAATAGTGAAGCAGGCATTTCTCAGCGTTATGAATGGCGGGGGGATTGAAGGTGAAGAAGAAAGATTATGTCGTGGTTTAAAAACATTTGGCGAAGATGGTGAAAGAGAAGCGTGGGTTAAACAGATAATGCAAGGACAGAATGGAACTATACTCACTAAGAGACCCATCACGCCATCTCAAAGGGAAGAGATGTTGAACTCTCGAAGCCGCAGTGCCAAACTGAGAGTAATTCAGAAAGTTTGATGATACATACATTGAATTGTTAACTTGACGACGTAATTGTGATTGTTTTCCCAGAGGCAACACGAAGGAGCTATAACCGTATTGTGGATGCAATCACACCCAAATGAGCAATGTTGCCATTGGTGAGGGATGTCATTTACTTGTTTCTTCTCTTATAAATGTGGGTTCACCAATCACCTCACCATTATCATCCCTTTTACCATAAGGGACAATGTATTTTAAGTGGGCTGTTGAATACCATCATTATGTATAACAATTAAGTAGAATGAATGTACCGACAGCACAGCATTTACACAACCCTTTAACCGACACAGCTCCATTCATTGTTCAGTCATTATAGATGGGACTTGGTCTACCTTGCAATATAGGCAATATGAATCATTTTTAATATATTATTTTTAGTATATTGAATTGTTGGTCCCAGCTTTCAAAAAAAAAAAAAAAAAAAGAGAGAATTGTTGGTCCCAATGAGTAGGGGTTCAAGTTTAGAGGGGGAGGGGGTGAATAGACTTGAATAATTTTTGGAAACTTTTCTAAGTAACGCAATGGAAAATGATTGTTACCCATATTTAAGTTTGTTTGTACTATATTTTGCTCTTGTAAATTGTAGGTTTGGTTTGTTAAGGACTTGAAAATAAATAGCAATATGTAAAGAGAGTGAGAGATTTTTGAAGTGGTTCGATTAAAACCTAGCCTACGTCCAGTCTTTGAAGAGATTTCCGTTTGCATTATTGAAATAATTTAGGTCATTATGGTCATTATGGAAATTGTCATTAGGAAATGTACTTAGGACACATTTTGCCTTGGTAACATTCTTCTTGCAACACAACACTTTGAGGTTTTTAACTGTTCGCTCAGAGAATGTTCGAATAGTAGAGTACAAGGAGTTACATTTTACTCTTCGTATAAATCTCAGCAACCCTTCGGATTTGACTTTCTTTAGTTAATCCTTACTCTTCGGAAATTAACTTCTCGCTTCAAGTTAACTTTTCGTGTCCCTTTATTATCCGGCCAAGGTTGACCCTTCAACTCTTTGGTCAAACCTCCCGGTCTTCAACTCTTTGTCTTCTAGTCTTCAAGTCTTCTTTTACTCTTCGAGTCATCTATTCTTCGCTTGTTGACTCCTTTGACTTCTCATAGCTTGATTCCTTGACTCTTCTAAGATCTCAGTTTAGACTAAGGGTGTGTTTGGAAACTTGGAAAATGAGTTCTGGAAATCATTTTCCAAGTTTCCATTGTTTGGATGTGTCTGGAAAATCAAGTCAACGGAAATCATTTTTCGTTGACTTTGGAAAATAGGCTTGTTTTGGAGGAAAATGACTTCCCTTTTTTTTGGGGGAAGTCATTTTCCAACTTTTACACCAACATCACACCACCACCAACATCATCAACACCATACCACCACCACCTCACTACTACCATCACCACCACTACTGCCGCCGCCACCACCGCCACCACACCACCACCAATACCATACCACCGCAACCACTACCACTACCACCACCAACACCATCAACACCATACCACCACCACCACCACCATCACACCACCACCACCACCGCCACCACTACCACCATACCACCGCAACCACCGTCGCCGCCGCCACCACCACTACTGCCACCGCCATCGCCGCCCCACCACCACCATTACACCACCGCTGCCGCCACCACCACCACGACCATACCACCGCAACCACCGCCGCCACCACCGCCACCATACCACCGCAACCACCGCCACCACACCATCACCACCACCACCACCACCACCACTGCCACCACCATCATATCACCACCAGTTATTATTATTATTATTATTATTATTATTATTATTATTATTATTATTATTATTATTATTATTATATAACAAATAACACCACTACCACTACACCACCACCACCATAATATTTTTGATATATTATTAGTTATTTTTTTATTATATTTAAAATATATATATATATATATATATATATATATATATATATATATATATATATATATATATATATATATATATATATATATATATATATATATATATATATATATATATATATTTGAAAGCAGGAAATTCGAATTTTATTACTGAAGATGCGTAACAATAAAGTCAGGAGGGACATCATCCCAGAACATAGTAATATCCTGGTCAGAGACCTTTGATGCTAGAGTATGAGCAATAACATTTAAACGTCTAGGAATAACACGTAAATGACATGTAATAAACTGAGCCATAGTGACTTGACATTCGCGAACAATAATACCAACATACGATCTAGGCTGCGAATCAACTCTGGATAGATAGGATTGCAAGACCGAACAATCTGTGGATAGAGTTACCGTTAATACCTGCAGATCCCTTAGCCAAGATAAAGCCTCTTTACAAGCTAGTGCTTCAGCCGTGATAGCATTCTCACATAACGGTAAACGACCATTCATAGCTGCTACAAAGACTCCCTGGTCGTCCAATAGAACCACACCAAAAGCCGCACTCCATGTCGCTGGGTTCCATGCCGCATCTACGTGGCATTGCAGGCCACTTGGCGCTGCTATATGATGATGCTGCTGCCCCGTTACCGCCAGTGGCCGAGAAGTCCTCCAAGCCGAGAGGGCTGCTTTGGCGCAAGGCCACAGACGCTTCGGCGTCCACATACACACCTCCCATATTGCTGAGTTTCGTGCATTCCATAAATGATATAGGACTGCAACAACTTGAATAAGAACATCCATGGTTAGCATAGTCATTGCATTCTGAAACCACTCAACAAATGATCCGCCATGCACAGAGGTAATAATAAGGCAAGATTCATTCCACACATGGCAAGCGTATTGACATTCTATTAACCAGTGCATAACATCCTCATTAAAATCAAGACACATAGGACAGGCAAGATTCACATCAACTCTCCTATTAGCTAGGGCTGTTGAGGTTGGCAAGACACCACTCAACGCTCTCCACAGGAACGTTTTCCACCTGGGGGGCACATCCAATTTCCACAATGCAGGCCATTTGTCACAAAGGCAGTATTATTTTGTATTTCCCCCACAACCATACGGTACGATCCGTTTTGCTCCTTATACCAATACCATGAGTCCTCATAATCCGGGCAGACAGGCACCCTACGAATACGGTTCACATCCTGCGGGTCAAAAATATCATTTAAGATGTCCAGATCCCATGAACGAGTATCATGATCCATCAAACCTGACACTTTTGACTCATAAATATTAGGTGGTAAATTAGTATGAATCTTATAATTCAAATCCAGAAGCCAAGGATCCTTACCAATCATTGTTGCCTCACCATTCCCAATCCTCCTCCTTATCCCACCACATACTAGGCCATGGGCAGCCATTATACTCCTCCAACAATAGCTAGGGTTATTTCCTATGACAGCATTTATAAAATCAGTTTTAGGGAAATACCTTGCCTTGTAACTGGTTTTGTGAGAAAGCTCCATACTTGCTTACCCAACATTGCAAGATTAAATGCTTTTAGATCCTTAAAGCCCAATCCCCCAGCTGTTTTTGGCTTACTGAGGCGATCCCATGCCATCCAATGTATTCCACCTGCACCACCCTTATTCCAATAGTACCTATTCATAGTCCTCTGTATTGCCATACAAAGGGAATCAGTTAACAAAAAGACACTCATTGAAAAGGTAGGCATAGCCTGGGCTACCGTTTTCAAGAGGATCTCCTTGCCTGCCTGCGACAATAATTTCTTATTCCATGAGCCTATCCTTTGTTGGATTTTTTCCTCAATATATGCAAAAACTTGTCTCTTATTCCTTCCAACAAACGAAGGCAACCCCAAATATCTCCCGAAGTCAACCGCCTGGGCAACCCCCCAAAACATACTCACCTCCTCCCTTACATCCTCCCCTGTATTTTTACTGAAACAAATACTGGATTTATGATAATTAATAGACTGACCAGACAGTTTCTCATAATGCTCCAAACATTGTTTCACTGCACTCACCTCCTGCACATTCGCCTTAAAGAATAAGAGACTATCATCTGCAAAAAATAAGTGAGAAACAGGCGGAGCTCCCCGTGCTACTCTACATCCATGGATAACACCCAAAGACTGTGCCTGCTGCAATATTAAAGACAGTCCCTCTGCGCAAATGATAAAAAGATAAGGAGAGAGAGGATCTCCCTGTCTTAGGCCCCTTGTAGGCACCACCACCCCCCCAACTGTACCATTAATAAGAATGTTATATGAAACAGTAGTAACACACATCATAATCAAATTTACCCATTGTTCCGCAAAACCTAGGGCTTTCATCATTTGCTTCAAAAAGACCCATTCCATTTTATCATATGCTCTCGCCATATCCAGCTTTAGGGCCCCCCAACCAACTTTTCCACACTGCTTTCTATTTAGGAAATGTCCTACCTCAGCAGCAATTAAGATATTATCAGTTATCAACCTGTCTGGAATGAAAGTACTTTGAGATTCTGAAACAATAGTATCCATAAAAGGCTTCATTCTATTTGCAATCATCTTGGCCATAATTTTATAGACCACATTACTTAAAGCAATTGGTCTCAAATCCGCAGGATACTCAGAGACCTTCTTCTTCGGGATTAAAACAACATTAGAATCATTTAACCCTTCCGGGAACACACCCGAATTAAGACAATTAAGCACAAACATTATCACTTCAGGCCCCACAACACCCCAAAAGTGCTGATAGAAACCCGGGTTCATCCCATTCGGCCCAGGTGCCTTATCCGGGAACATAGCAAATAAAGCCTCCTTCACCTCCTCAGCCACAAAGGGTTTTAACAAAGACTCATTTTGCAATTCAGACACACGGGGGAGTATCGTGTCAAAGAAATCACTATGGGACGGGGCATTTGATGATTTAAAAATATCAGCAAAATAATCAATAATAACTGCATTCATAGCACCCTTAGAGACCCAGCTCCCATCCACCCCTTTCAATTTAGACATAGAATTTTTACGCTTACGAGATGAGACATACCTATGATAGAACTTGGTGTTGGCATCCGCCCCTCGCAGCTAGTGCTGTTTTGCCCTCTGTCGCCAATACATATCCTCTTGCGCCTCTAGTCGAGACAACTCAAGTTGGCCTCCAAAAACGTACCATGCCTAAAATACCTTGCTTTGAATAATCTAGCAACCAAAGTAGTAGGTTTCCATAGAATCCTCCACCCCTGCTTGCCTAATATGGATATATTGAAATCATGCAGGTACTTAAAACCCAAGTTGCCCTTCCTAACATACAATCTTTCGCTGCTTAACCAATGCAATCTGCGACCCACTCTATTATATTGCTACCAAAATCTAGCCATAGTGCCTTCCAGCTTCGTACATAGATTCTGTGGCAAAAGATAAACACTCATAGTATAAGTTGGTAATGCCTGAGCAACAATCTTAATCAATACCTCTTTACCAGCCTTTGAAAGCAAACTCTTATGCAAACCACTGACACACTTGCACACCTTATTCTAGACAAATGCAAAAATCTGTGTCCGGTTTCGACCAATATACGATGGCAACCCAAGATATTGTTGGATCTCAGCATTGCACTATGCTTACTTCACAGTCGGTCACCCATCCTATGATTGCTGTAAGTCAAGCTTCTTTGGCTATCTAGTTGTTATATCCTACTAAAAATCAATTGGTGATAAGTAGGTAGACATTAACCATTTAACCTCATCCATCCATGATAGTAGTGTCAAAGTAGGCTGAAACCCGCTGGCCGGCTCACACCCGCCCCACGGTGGGGAGGGTTAGGGTTGAAGAAAAGTTGGCCCCCAAAAATGCGGGCCTAACGAGCCTGGCCCGCTATATCCCATAGCCCCCGCGGGCTAGGTACATTTTAAAAAAAAAACATATGTTTGTTAGAGGTGGCCAAAGTCGGGGTCTGAGTCGATCCTGGGGCTAGACTAGCACGGACTAGGATCGGCCCTAAATTACTTGGGCCAGTCCCGTGCCGGGCTTACCCCGTGCCTGTCTTGGGCCGATCCTGGTTAGGCCCGAAATTTTTATTATTATTATTTTTATATAAAATAATTATAGTTTTTTAAAAACAAAAATAAGATTTGGCCCACTAACATCATCGCTAAAAATCAAAGTTATATATAATTGAGGACACCTCAACTCTATGATTCAATAATGCTAATACATACATACATACATACATACATACATACATACATACATGCAT